GTAGTGCGGGTCTTGTGCATACCCAGCCTCTCACACATGGTGGCGAACACATGGGACTCAAAGTTTCTGCCTTGGTCGCTGTGGATGGACTCTGCAGTTCCAAACCTGCTGAACATCCCCGCTGTCAGGGCGTCGACGATGGTCTCTGCCTCCTGGTCAGGCAGACCATAGGCCTCGGGCCATTTTGTGAAATAGTCCATGACCGTGAGCACCCAGCGGTTTCCACTGTCTGTGGTGGGGAACGGCCCAACTACATCCACTCCCACCCTCTCCATGGGAGCCCCCACTGGGAACTGTTGGAGCTGAGCATGAGAGCGGCCTGGGGGGCCCTTTCTCGCTGTGCAGTTGTCACAGCGGCAGCAAAAGTCTTCCACATCCCTCTTGTGCTGCCCCCAGTAAAAGCCCTGACGGAGGCGGCGCAGTGTTTTTGTGACCCCAAAGTGTCCAGTCCCCACCCCCCCATGAGTACTCTGGAGCACAGCCTCCCGCAATGCTTTTGGGACCACCACCTGCCACCTCTCCTCCCCCGTAGCTGACTCCTTCCATGCCCGCTGTAACACGCCATCAGCCAGCCGCAGTCGCTCAAACTTTGACCACAACCCTTTGGTCGCGAGTGAGAGCGCTGTCACCTCTTCCCATGGTGGCCTCACCTGCGCCTCTACCCACTGTAGCACTGGCTGTAGGTCTGTGTCCCGTCCTTGCTGCTGCCCCCATTCAGCCACGTCGACAGTCTGCAGCTCACAGCAGACAGGCCCGCTCGCCCGACACACTGTGGCACAGACCCCCTCCTCTGCACACAGCTCTCTCTCCCGTCCCTCTCTCCGTTCACAGTGGCGGCAGCCGTCTGCAGTACAGGGCCGACGGGACATGGCGTCGGCGTTGGAGTGGCGTGCCCCTGCCCTGTGCACCACCGTGAAGTCATACGGCTGAAGCTCCTCCAACCAGCGTGCCACCTGCCCCTCTGGCTCTCTGAAAGACATGAGCCACTGGAGAGCAGAGTGGTCAGTCCTTACAGTAAAGGGCAGACCACCCAGGTAGTACTTGAAGTGTTTGACGGAAGCCACAACAGCCAAGAGCTCCCGCCGGGTGACACAGTAGCGGCGCTCATGTTTGTCAAATGTTTTGCTGAAGTACGCCACCGCTCTCTCCCCCTCTGGCCCCACCTGGGCCAGCACCCCACCCATGCCCACATTGCTCGCGTCTGTGTCCAGGATAAAGGGCAATGTGAGGTCAGGGTGGGCGAGCACGGGGGCCTCGATCAGTGCACGTTTGAGGGTGTTGAACGCCTCCTCACACTCCACTGTCCAAGTGAAAGCCTTGTCCTTCGGCAGCAGGCGGTTCAGTGGAGCAGCAACGCTTGAGAAGCCCCGTACAAACCTCCTGTAGTACGAGGCCAGGCCCAGGAAGCTCTTCAGCTGACGCTGGTCGGTGGGGGTGGGCCAGTCTCTGACAGCCGCTACCTTGTCCTTCATGGTGCTGATCCCCTCCTTCCCCACTCGGTGGCCCAAGAAGGACACCTCTCTCCTCATGAAGTGGCACTTTTCGGGGTGGAGCTTCAGACCTGCGGCAGCCACCCTCTCCAGCACACACCGTAGCGCCCCCAGGGCTGACTGGAAGGAGCTGCCATGGGCCAGGATGTCATCGAGGTATACCAGACACTGCTGTCGGGGGATGCCATCCAGCACCCTGTCCATCAAACGCTCAAAAGTAGCTGGAGCGTTGCACAGGCCAAAGCACAGGACCTTGAACTGCCAGTGTCCTCTGTTAGTGGAGAACGCAGTTTTGGCTCTGGCCTCTGGGGAGAGGGGCACCTGCCAGTAGCCACTGCGGAGGTCTAGTGAGGAGAACCAGGAGGACCCCCTAACCAGGTCCAGCGACTCATCGATACGTGGTATGGCGTATGAGTCCTTCCTGGTTACCTCATTCAGCCGCCTGTAGTCCGCACAGAACCTCAGCTTGCCCCCCTTCTTCGGAACCATGACGACTGGCGCCGCCCAGGGGCTGTCTGAGGGCTCAATGAAGTCTGCCCGCTGCATCTCCAACACAGCCTTGTCTGCCGCCTCCTGGCGTGCCAGCGGGATACGGCGGGGACGCATCTTGATAGGTCGAGCATCACCTGTGTCGATCTCATGCTGCACCAGATGAGTCTGACCCACCTCTTCCTCACTCAGCGCAAAGCTGTCTCTGAATTCAAACAGCAACTGCCTCAACCGTTCCTGCTGCTCGGGGTCAAGACCAACACAGTTCCTCCCCCATATCTCCCTCACTGCAGACAGTGTCCTCTCCCCTCCCATCTGGGGTAGCTGGGCTGGGGGGGCGCTGCCCGGGCTCACAGAGGACTGTGTCGTGGAGGTAGCTGGGGGAATGTAACGCAACGCCGTAGGTGACAGGGGGGCTGGGGAAAAGTCACACCCAGATGTGGGGGAGGGGGGGCAGCCATGAGTCTCTGCTGCTTTAACTGTTGGAGTAAAGGGTTTGTTGGGTTGAGTGAATGTGACATTAGGGGCCATGGTGACCTCCGGCCCTCCCTGGAAGCTCAGTGTGCCCCTATTTAGGTCTAACTGGCAGCCTGTGCTCCTAAGAAAGTCCAACCCCAGGATACAAGGGTCCTGCACAGCCGCCACCCACACAGGATGACGCACAGTCCTGCCCCCTACTGTCAGAGTCATTATTCCCTTCCCTTTCATGGGTGCCAGCTCACCTGTGACTGTGCGGAGCTGCACAGTTGTAGGCTCACACTGAGTCCAACCTGGCACAATATCTGGCCTCACCAGGGTTACTGTGGACCCAGTGTCCACCAGGGCGGAGCAGGGCACCCCCTCCACAGTGACAGGGACATGACAAAAGTCCCCAACACAGGTCCGGCCCACCACAACAACAGGCTCCATCCGCTTGCCCTCGTCTGCTTCTGGGGGAAGTGGAGCCTTGCTTCCCCGTCTGTGCCGGTGGGCTCCTCCTGAAGAAGATGGTGGTTTTGAGATAGAAAGCCAGGGGTCCGCACTACCCGGTCTATGCGGACCCCGAGCCGTTTCCCTGAACTCTGGGGGACATGGGGCAATCTCGGTGCAGATGGCCTGGCTGGCCACAACCCCAGCAGACCCTGGGACCAGGGCGTGTGTTTCGTGCCGCCTGTAGCGACACAGCACGAATGAGTTCTGTCATTTCAGCCACCCATGCAGGCTTTTCCGGCTCCGGGCTGCTCTGCCCCCCAGCTCGCACAGAGGGTCTGTCTCCCTGCACCCCCACCAAAGCCCCAGCTGAAGCCCCAGCCCACACCAGCTCCCTCTCCAAAGCCATCTCCAAGGCTACCTGCAATGACTCAGGATGAGCCAGCTGGGTCTGTATGCGCAGCTCCGTAGGAGAGAGCGCCTGTATGAACTGGTCCCGTGCTAGCTCGCTCTGCACGGAGGGGGGCATGTGAGCATATGCCCGCCGAGAGAGGCTCTCAATGTCATTAGCTAGCACCCGTAGAGGCTCTCCAGGCTGCCTGCGTCTATTACTCAGTTCGGAGCGCAGTAGCCCGGGCTGTACACGCTGTCCATAGCGCCTCCTCAGTGCTCCCACTAAAGCACCATAATCACGTCTGTCCGCGGGGCTAATCAATATCAAACAGGCCAGAGCTTCATCCGTGAGGCATAAAGCCAACTGCAGTGCCCTATCTTCATCCGACCACCCCCTAAAATGAGCTAACAGTTCAAACTGAGCATGAAAAGCTTCCCAATCCGCCTTACCGGAATACTTCGGGGTCTTAACGGATACGGACGCAGCCGGGAACTGGGCGCCGCCATGTTTGTTTACATCCTGAGCCCCAGATTCCTCGTCCCGCCGCGTCGACGTCACCCCTTCGGTCCGCCCACCAGAATCCGCGCGAAACACAGTCGACGAAGCACTCATGCCCGCTTCAGCCGCCATCACTCTAACGTCCTCCCTCAAGCGGCCTCTGGGCTCCGATGCCCTGGCGATCTCCTCAGCCAGAACCCCCGACGTCCATGCACACGCACCTCCTTGGCCATAATACCTCCACCTTCACTTTCGGATTCCCTCGAAGCATCTTCAACCCCCGTTCTCACCTACGGTAGCTAGCCACAGAAGTCAGCTAGCTAGCTGGCTAACTTTTATCAACGTTTTTACTTCTGACACCAATGTAATGACCTGACTAGATCATAAAAGAACAACTGTCCAGACAGAGGATTGAGTTTACGAATGGACGGTTTATTAAACCAACTTCACACAGGCTACTGTTTGGCCGTAGCCCACGCCAAATAAATGAAAGATAACCCACAAGCCAATCGTGACCTTCTCTTGTGAAGCCCAGACGTAAAAAGAGAGAGAACAAAGGCTAAACCTGGTCTTAACTTCCAATGCTCCATCCCCCTGCCCAACCCCCCTCCACGCCACTCCGCCAACCGCCAGGATGCCCGGCATCAGAACATTCCAGGCATTCCCGTGATTGGCAGATAGCAGGTTGATTGACATGTCGGACCCCGCGAACACTGGGTACTGGTAGGTACAACACAACCATCTACTAGCCTAACACATAACACACAGCTGTCTGTGCGGGTCGCTACAGTAGTTTCACTGCCAAGCTGAAATACGCCACTTCATAATATTTGACTGCCAAATTGTGCCAAAGCAAACTATATTATAGTCCCAAACGATATGAATTAATTATTCTCTCGAAACCAGGCCGCAGTCACTAATATGCCTTAAAAAGGTGAGCATTTATTATCTCGAATGACATAGAAAATCTTTGTTTTTGACAGATCCCGAAGGTTTCCTCTAGTTACCACAGCCACAAAGTCAATATCGTAAACATTCATACAAATAAATAGATTTTCGGTCTTAATTTAAGGTTAGGCATAAGGTTAGCAGTGCGGTTTGGTTAAGGTTAGATTTAAAATCACAGTTTAAAATTAGAAATTGTAGAAATAGGCTGAGTTTATGACTTTGTGGCAACTAGTGACGAACATTACCGAAGGACCCCTAATGGCGCATGCGCACATCACCCCGTATTAGACGTCAACTACACTGAGAAAGTCTGTAATCGTTTTTTTTTTTTTTTTTTGCGAATGGCTTTGTTTTAAAACAAGTAATGACTTAAATAATTTATAGTTATCATCCATATTGATAAAATAACACTTTAAAAATGGACCAGGACTTTAAGGACATGGATTCAGAGGGCCGGTGGCAGAACTTATACATAGTAAGTTAGCTAGCTGTTAGCTTAGCTAATGCAGCTAGCAGCACCAGTGTCAGCTGCTATTTACGCACGCAAATAGCAGCTATTCGTAGAAATACGCAGGGGATGTTTATTTCTTAGTTCTCTTGTTGCCTTTTACTTTTCTGTCTTTAGACATCTCTTTTCGGTGATGGCGCACAACAATACTTAGCTAGACTCAAAGCCAACAATCTGGAGTTTTTAGCGTGCGCATGCATGCGGTTACTAACGACATCCTCGCTAAGAGGTTTATCTAGCCAGCTAGCTAGCTACTTAGCTAACGGTTGTTCTCTTTTCGATAGTATTTGTATTTATTATAGATCCCCATTAGCTGGGGTCCAGCAAAATTAAGACAGTTATACATTTTAAAAAACATTACAATACATTTATAACATATTTCACAGCACACTAAGTGTGTGCCCTCAGGCCCCTACTCCACTACCACATATCTACAACACAAAATCCGTGTGTGTATGCATGTGTCTGTGCCTATGTTTGTGTTGCTTCACAGTCCCCGCTGTTCCATAAGGTGTATTTTTATGTATTTTTAAAATCTGATTATGCTGCTTGCATCAGTTACCTGATGTGGAATAGAGTTCCATGTAGTCATGGCTCTATGTAGTACTGTGTGCCTCCCATAGTCTGTTCTGGACTTGGGGACTGTGAAGAGACCTCTGGTGGCATGTCTTGTGGGGTATGCATCGGTATCCGAGCTGTGCGCCAGTAGTTCAAACAGACAGCTCGGTGCTTTCAACATTTCAACATCTCTCACAAACACAAGCAGTGATGAAGTCAATCTCTTCTCCACTTTGAGCCAGGAGATTGACATGCATATTATTAATGTTTGCTCTCTGTGTTTATCCAAGGGCCAGCCGTCCTGCCCTGTTTTGAGCTAATTTTCCTAAGTCTCTCTTTGTGGCACCTGACCACACGACTGAACAGTAGTCCAGGTGCGATAAAACTAGAGCCTGTAGGACCTGCCTTGTTGATAGTGCTGTTAAGAAGGTAGAACAGCGCTATATGTTCTGACCATGATAGTTTACAATCCAGGGTTACTCCAAGCAGTTTAGTCATGTCAACTTGCTCAATCTCCACATTATTTATTACAAAATTTAATTCAGGTTTGGAGTTTAGTGAAGGATTTGTTCCAAATATTTAGGACTAACTTATTCCTTGCCACACACTCTGAAACTAACTGCAACTCTTTAAGTGTTGCAGTCATTTCAGTCGCTGTAGTAGCTGACATGTATAAATCAAATCAAATCAAATTTTATTGGCCACATGCGCTGAATACAACAGGTGCAGACATTACAGTGAAATGCTTACTTACAGCCCTTAACCAACAGTGTATTTATTTTTAACAAAAAAGTAAAAATAAAACAACAACAAAAAAGTGTTGAGAAAAAAAAGAGCAGAAGTAAAATAAAATAACAGTAGGGAGGCTATATATACAGGGGGGTACCGGTGCAGAGTCAATGTGCGGGGGCACCGACTAGTTGAGGTAGTTGAAGTAATATGCACATGTGGGCAGAGATAAAGTGACTATGCATAAATAATTAACAGAGTAGCAGCAGCGTAAAAGGATGGGGTGGGGGGGCAGTGCAAATAGTCCGGGTAGCCATGATTAGCTGTTCAGGAGTCTTATGGCTTGGGGGTAGAAGCTGTTGAGAAGTCTTTTGGACCTAGACTTGGCACTCCGGTACCGCTTGCCGTGCGGTAGCAGAGAGAACAGTCTATGACTAGGGTGGCTGGAGTCTTTGACAATTTTGAGGGCTTTCCTCTGACACCACCTGGTATAGTGTTGAGTCATCCGCATACATAGATAGACACTCTGGCTTTACTCAAAGCCAGTGGCATGTCATTAGTAAAGATTTAAAAAAGTAATGGGCCTAGACAGCTGCCCTGGGGAATTCCTGATTCTACCTGGATTATGTTGGAGAGGCTTCCATTAAAGAACACCCTCTGTGTTCTGTTAGACAGGTAACTCTTTATCCACAATATAGCAGGGGGTGTAAAGCCATAACGCATACGTTTTTCCAGCAGCAGACTATGATCGATAATGTCAAAAGCCACACTAAAGTCTAACAAAACAGCCCCCACAATCTTTTTATCATCAATTTCTCTCAGCCAATCATCAGTCATTTGTGTAAGTGCTGTGCTTGTTGAATGTCTTTCTCTATAAGCATGCTGAAAGTTTGTTGTCCATTTGTTTACTGTAAAATAGCATTGTATCTGGTCAAACACTATTTTTTCCAATAGTTTACTAAGGGTTGGTAACAGGCTAATTGGTCGGCTATTTGAGCCAGTAAAGGGGGCTTTACTATTCTTAGGTAGCAGAATGACTTTTGCTTCCCTCCAAGCCTGGGGGCACATACATTCTAGTAGGTTTAAATTGAAAATATGGCAAATAGGATTGGCAATATCGTCCGCTATTATCCTCAGTAATTTTCCATCCAAGTTGTCAGACCCCGGTGGCTTGTCATTGTTGATAGACAACAATACTTTTTTCACCTCTTCCACACTCACTTTACGGAAATCAAAATTACAACGTTTGTCTTTCATAATTTGGTCAGATATCAAATCAAATCAAATTTTATTGGCCACATGCGCTGAATACAACAGGTGCAGACATTACAGTGAAATGCTTACTTACAGCCCTTAACCAACAGTGCATTTATTTTTAATAAAAAAAGTAAAATAAAACAACAACAAAAGTGTTGAGAAAAAAAGAGCAGAAGTAAAATAAAATAACAGCAGGGAGGCTATATATACAGGGGGGTACCGGGGCGGGGGCACCGGCTAGTTGAGGTAATATGTACATGTGGGTAGAGTTAAAGTGACTATGCATAAATAATTCACAGAGTAGCAGCAGCATAAAAAGATGGGGTGGGGGGCAGTGCAAATAGTCTGGGTAGCCATGATTAGCTGTTCAGGAGTCTTATGGCTTGGGGGTAGAAGCTGTTGAGAAGTCTTTTGGACCTAGATTTGGCACTCCGGTACCGCTTGCCGTACGGTAGCAGAGAGAACAGTCTATGACTAGGGTGGCTGGAGTCTTTGACAATTTTGAGGGCCTTCCTCTGACACCGCCTGGTATAGAGGTCCTGGATGGCAGGAAGCTTGGCCCCAGTGATGTACTGGGCCGTACGCACTACCCTCTGTAGTGCCTTGCGGTCGGAGGCCAAGCAGTTGCCATACCAGGCGGTGATGCAACCAGTCAGGATGCTCTCGATGGTGCAGCTGTAGAATTCTTTGAGGATCTGAGGACCCATGCCAAATCTTTTTAGTCTCCTGAGGGGGAATAGGCTTTGTCGTGCCCTCTTCACGACTATTTTAATGTGTTTGGACCATGATAGTTTGTTGGTGATGTGGACACCAAGGAACTTGAAGCTCTCAACCTGTTCCACTACAGCCCCGTCGATGAGAATGGGGGCTTGGATATACTTGGATGTGTAGTGTCAACGTTTGTTGCTGGCATGTCATGCCTAAATTTGCTAATCTTGCCAATGATTAGATTGCCAGCTACATTTACATTTAACATTTACGTCATTTAGCAGACGCTCTTATCCAGAGCGACTTACAAATTGGTGCATTCACCCTATAGCCAGTGGGATAACCACTTTACAATTTTTATTTTTATTTTTATTTTTTTTGGGGGGGGGGGGGGGGGGGGGGATAGAAGGATTACTTTATCCTATCCCAGGTATTCCTTAAAGAGGTGGGGTTTCAAATGTCTCCGGAAGGTGGTGAGTGACTCCGCTGTCCTGGCGTAGTGAGGGAGCTTGTTCCACCATTGGGGTGCCAGAGCAGCGAACAGTTTTGACTGGGGTGAGCGGGAACTATGCTTCCGCAGAGGAAGTGGAGTCAGCAGGCCAGAGGTGGATGAACGCAATGCCCTCGTTTGGGTGTAGGGACTGATCAGAGCCTGAAGGTACGGAGGTGCCGTTCCCCTCACAGCTCCATAGGCAAGCACCATGGTCTTGTAACAGATGCGAGCTTCAACTGGAAGCCAGTGGAGTGTGCGGAGGAGCGGGGTGACGTGAGAGAACTTGGGAAGGTTGAACACCAGACGGGCTGCGGCATTCTGAATGAGTTGTAGGGGTTTAATGGCACAGGCAGGGAGCCCAGCCAACAGCGAGTTGCAGTAATCCAGACGGGAGATGACAAGTGCCTGGATTAGGACCTGTGCCGCTTCCTGTGTAAGGCAGGGTCGTACTCTCCGAATGTTGTAGAGCATGAACCTGCAGGATCGGGTCACCGCCTTGATGTTAGCGGAGAACGACAGGGTGTTGTCCAGGGTCACGCCAAGGCTCTTCGCACTCTGGGAGGAGGACACAACGGAGTTGTCAACCGTGATGGCGAGATCATGGAACGGGCAGTCCTTCCCCGGGAGGAAGAGCAGCTCCGTCTTGCCAGGGTTCAGCTTGAGGTGGTGATCCGTCATCCATACTGATATGTCTGCCAGACATGCAGAGATGCGATTCGCCACCTGGTTATCAGAAGGGGGAAAGGAGAAGATTAGTTGTGTATCGTCTGCGTAGCAATGATAGGAGAGGCCATGTGAGGATATGACAGAGCCAAGTGACTTGGTGTATAGGGAGAATAGGAGAGGGCCTAGAACTGAGCCCTGGGGGACACCAGTGGTGAGAGCACGTGGTGCGGAGACAGATTCTCGCCACGCCACTTGGTAGGAGCGACCGGTCAGGTAGGACGCAATCCAAGAGTGAGCCACGCCGGAGATGCCCAGCTCGGAGAGGGTGGAGAGGAGGATATGATGGTTCACAGTATCAAAGGCAGCAGACAGGTCTAGAAGGACAAGAGCAGAGGAGAGAGAGTTAGCTTTAGCAGTGCGGAGAGCCTCCGTGACACAGAGAAGAGCAGTCTCAGTTGAATGACCAGTCCTGAAACCTGACTGGTTTGGATCAAGAAGGTCATTCTGAGAGAGATAGCAAGAGAGTTGGCTAAAGACGGCACGCTCAATAGTTTTGGAAAGAAAAGAAAGAAGGGATACTGGTCTGTAGTTGTTGACATCAGTGGGATCGAGTGTTGGTTTTTTGAGAAGGGGTGCAACTCTCACTCTCTTGAAGACGGAAAGGACATAGCCAGCGGTCAAGGATGAGTTGATCAGCGAGGTGAGGTAGGGGAGAAGGTCACCGGAGATGGTCTGGAGAAGAGAGGAGGGGATGAGGTCAAGCGGGCAGGTTGTTGGGCGGCCTACAGTCACAAGTCGCAAGATTTTATCTGGAGAGAGAGGGGAGAAAGAAGTCAAAGCATAGGGTAGGGCAGTGTGAGCAGGACCAGCAGTGTCATTAGACTTAACAAACGGGGATCGGATGTCGTCAACCTTCTTTTCAAAGTGGTTGACGAAGTCATCCACAGAGGGGGGGGGGGGGGATTCAGCAGTGAGGAGAATGTGGCAAAGAGCTTCCTAGGGTTAGAGGCATATGCTTGGAATTTAGAGTGGTAGAAAGTGGCCTTAGCAGCAGAAACAGATGAAGAAAATGTAGAGAGGAGGGAGTGAAAAGATGCCAGGTCGGCAGGGAGTTTAGTTTTCTTCCATTTCCGCTACGCTGCCCGGAGCTCTGTTCTGTGAGCTCGCAATGAGTCATCAAGCCACGGAGCTGGAAGGGAGGACCGAGCCGGCCGGGAGGATAGGGGACACAGGGAGTCAAAGGATGCAGAAAGGGAGGAGAGGAGGGTTGAGGAGGCAGAATCAGGAGATTGGAGGGAGAAGGATTGAGCAGAGGGAAGAGATGATAGGATGGAAGAGGAGAGAGTAGTGGGAGAGAGAGAGCGAAGGTTGCGGCGAAGCATTACCATCTGTGTAGGCGCAGAGATGGTTTGTCAACAGATTCAAAACCCTGCTGGTGCTTCCAATTAGTGAGCACAAGTGTTTATTTGGGCAATCGCAGATGACAACTATTTCCTGAATTTGTTGGTCAGCGGTTTTAACCTTTTAAACATCCATTGGTTGCTGCCAAGTGTGGCAGATTGTGTTATGAGTTTATAGCAATCCGCTGTCTTTAATTTTAAAAGACACTCCTAAAGATGATGAACTGCCTTTCTCCCTGAGTTGATGTTTCCCGTCCTTGTTTTAGACCAGTCAGTGATGCTGATGAGACCTGCCTTTATGTCATGATCATTTCAGGGATGAGATTATTCCTGATCAATAAGGAGTACCTGCTCTTCTGACATCATCCACTGTTCATAAACTACTGAACTAGTCCCCCGAACCTAAACCGTTATCCTACCAGTAATACATGAGGTTCCATTCAGTGCCCACAGCATCATCCATCCTATCAGTGTGACCAGAGGATCTAGCTAAACATGGTCTGATTCTGTGAAATCTATCTAAAGTAGTCTGACCTTGTGTGCAGGCCTATAGAGAAACCATTCATAGTCTATAAGTCTGTGATGACTGAACCGTTTGTTTGTCTGCAGGAAATACGGAATCAGTCCCATGAATGCCCTTTCAAAGTTGCTAAATATCCAGAAAATCGCAACCGGAACCGATACAGAGATGTCAATCCATGTAAGTGACTTCATACCCCTTTATATCTTGTTAGTTTTTTAAAAGGTTTCGTTGTTGTTGTCTTACGTACCACATTGATAGCTGTATGATACCAACTTCAGATTCAGAAAATGTTATTGTCCTCAATGAGGCAATTCAATACATACATAAACTTGTCTTTCACTTGGATATGTTGTTAATATATTACTTCTCTCCTCTGTGGTTGTCTGTGTAGTTGATCACAGCAGAGTTAAACTGGAGAAGGCAGAGAACGACTACATCAACGCCAGCCTGGTGGTCATAGAGGAGGCCCAGAGGAGTTACATTTTAACTCAGGTGACTTGTCATTCGTGTTATTGTTGTCCATTCTGTTGTTATGTTGTCCATTCTGTTATATTGTGTCCATCTGTTGTTGTGTCGTCCATTATTTGTTATTGTCGTCCATTCTGTTGTTATTGTCGTCCATTCTGTTGTTATTGTTGTCCATTCTGTTGTTATTGTCGTCCATTCTGTTGTTATTTGTAGTCCATTTCTGTTGTTATTGTTGTCCATTCTGTTGTTATTGTCGTCCATTCTGTTGGTTATTGTTGTCCATTCTGTTGTTATTGTTGTCCATTCTGTTGTTATTGTCGTCCATTCTGTTGTTATTGTTGTCCATTCTGTTGTTTTGTTGTCCATTATGTGTTATTGTTGTCCATTCTGTTGTTATTGTCGTCCATTCTGTTGTTATTGTTGTCCATTCTGTTGTTATTGTTGTCCATTCTGTTGTTATTGTTGTCCATTCTGTTGTTATTGTCGTCCATTCTGTTGTTATTGTCGTCCATTCTGTTGTTATTGTCGTCCATTCTGTTATTGTCGTCCATTCTGTTGTTATTGTTGTCCATTCTGTTGTTATTGTTGTCCATTCTGTTGTTATTGTCGTCCATTCTGTTGTTATTGTTGTCCATTCTGTTGTTATTGTCGTCCATTCTGTTGTTATTGTCGTCCATTCTGTTGTTATTGTCGTCCATTCTGTTGTTATTGTCGTCCATTCTGTTGTTATTGTCGTCCATTCTGTTGTTATTGTCGTCCATTCTGTTATTGTCGTCCATTCTGTTATTGTCGTCCATTCTGTTATTGTCGTCCATTCTGTTGTTATTGTCGTCCATTCTGTTGTTATTGTCGTCCATTCTGTTGTTATTGTCGTCCATTCTGTTGTTATTGTTGTCCATGCTGTTGTTATTGTTGTCCATTCTGTTGTTATTGTCGTCCATTCTGTTGTTATTGTCGTCCATTCTGTTGTTATTGTCGTCCATCTACAGCCCTCTAATATGATGTTTTCCTCTTTGTATTGTTTCTTTCCTATTATGTCTGACTTCTATTAACATAACTAACTCTTGATTAACAGAACTAACACTTGATTAACAGAGCTAACACTTGATTAACAGAGCTAACACTTGATTAACAGAGCTAACACTTGATTAACAGAGCTAACACTTGATTAACAGAGCTAACACTTGATTAACAGAGATAACACTTGATTAACAGAGATAACACTTGATTAACAGAGAACACTTGATTAACAGGGCTAACACTTGATTAACAGAACTAACACTTGATTAACAGAACTAACACTGATTAACAGAACACTTGATTAAAAGAACACTTGATTCACAGTACTGACACTGATTAACAGAACTAACACTGATTAAAAGAACACTTGATTAAAAGAACACTTGATTAACAGAACACTTGATTAACAGAACACTCGATTAACAGAACTAACATTTGATTAACAGAAATAACACTTGATTCACAGAACACTTGATTCACAGAACACTTGATTCACAGAACACTTGATTCACAGAACTGACACTTGATTAACAGAACACTTGATTAACAGAACACTTGATTAACAGAGCTAACACTTGATTAACAGAGCTAACACTTGATTAACAGAGCTAACACTTGATTAACAGAGCTAACACTTGATTAACAGAGCTAACACTTGATTAACAGAGCTAACACTTGATTAACAGAGCTAACACTTGATTAACAGGGCTAACACTTGATTAACAGAACTAACACTGATTAACAGAACACTTGATTAAAAGAACACTTGATTCACAGTACTGACACTGATTAACAGAACTAACACTGATTAAAAGAACACTTGATTAAAAGAACACTTGATTAACAGAACACTTGATTAACAGAACACTTGATTAACAGAACACTCGATTAACAGAACTAACATTTGATTAACAGAACTAACACTTGATTCACAGAACACTTGATTCACAGAAGCCTTGATTCACAGAAGACTTGATTCACAGAACACTTGATTCACAGAACTGACACTGATTAACAGAACACTTGATTAACAGAACACTTGACTAACAGAACTAACACTTGATTCACAGAACACTTGATTCACAGAACACTTGATTCACAGAACTGACACTGATCAACAGAACTAACACTAATTAACAGAACTAACACTTGATTAACAGAACACTTGATTAACAGAACACTTGATTAACAGAACACTTGATTAAAAGAACAAACAGTTGATTAAAAGAACAAACAGTTGATTAACAGAACAAATAGTTGATTAACATAACAAATAGTTGATTAACAGAACAAATAGTTGATTAACAGAACTAACACTCGATTCACAGAACTAACACTCGATTCACAGAGCTAACACTCGATTAACAGAGCTAACACTTGATTCACAGAGCTAACACTTGATTAACAGAGCTAACACTTGATTAACAGAGCTAACACTTGATTCACAGAGCTAACACTTGATTAACAGAGCTAACACTTGATTCACAGAGCTAACACTTGATTAACAGAGCTAACACTTGAGTAAAAGAACACTTGATTGACAGAACTAACACTGATTAATGATTCACAGAACTAACACTCGATTAACAGAACTAACACTCGATTAACAGAACTAACACTCGATTCACAGAACTAACACTCGATTAACAGAACTAACACTCGATTAACAGAACTAACACTCGATTCACATAACTAACACTCGATTCACAGAACTAACACTCGATTCACAGAACTAACACTCGATTCACAGAACTAACACTCGATTCACATAACTAACACTCGATTCACAGAACTAACACTCGATTCACAGAACTAACACTCGATTCACAGAACTAACACTCGATTCACAGAACTAACACTCGATTCACAGAACACTTGATTCACAGAACTAACACTTGATTAACAGAGCTAACACTGATTAACAGAACACTTGATTAAAAGAACACTTGATTCACAGAACTGACACTGATCAACAGAACACTTGATTCACAGAGCACTTGATTCACAGAACACTTGATTCACAGAACTGACACTGATCAACAGAACTAACACTAATTAACAGAACTAACACTTGATTAACAGAACACTTGATTAAAATAACAAACAATTGATTAACAGAACAAATAGTTGATTAACAGAACAAACATTTGATTAACAGAACAAACATTTGATTAACAGAACAAACAGTTGATTAACAGAACAAACAGAACAAACAGTTGATTAGCAGAAACAGCGCCGGAGAAGATGGCTGCCGTTTTACAGCCCTCTAACCATTTGTACTATTATGTGTGTTTTTCCGCGTTATTTGTAATTTATTTTGTACATAATGTTTCTGCCATCGTCTCTTATAACTAAAAAGAGCTTCTGGATATCAGGACAGCGATTACTCACCTCGTATTGGACGAAGATTTTTTCTTCAACGAGGCGGCCGCGAAGGATATCATACAGACACCCGACAAGGCCCAAATCCCCGTCATTCGCATGAGGAAGAGACGGAGATATCGTGGACGTAGATCGGGGTGCCTTGTAAGGATCCGACGGCGAGCGAGTAAACTGCCTCTTCCATCAATCCTATTAGCCAATCTTCAATCATTGGATAACAAATTGGATGACCTAAGATTACGGTTATCCTACCAACGGGACATTAAAAACTGTAATATCTTATGTTTCACCGAGTCGTGGCTGAACGACATGGATAACATACAGCTAGCGGGCTATACGCTACATCGGCAGAATAGAACGGCTGACACCGGTAAGACAAGGGGTGGCGGTCTGTGTATATTTGTAAACAACAGCTGGTGCACAAAATCAAATACTAAGGAAGTCTCGAGGTTTTGCTCGCCTGAGGTAGAGTATCTTATGATAAGCTGTAGACCACACTATTTACCAAGAGAGTTTTCATCTATATTTTTCATAGCTGTCTATTTACCACCACAAACCAATGCTGGCATTAAGATTGCACTGAATGAGTTGTATAAGGCCATAAATCAACAGGAAAACGCTCATCCAGATGCAGCGCTCCTAGTGGCCGGGGACTTTAATGCAGGGAAACTTAAATCCGTTCTACCTAATTTCTACCAGCTGTTAAATGTGCAACCAGAGGAAAAAAAACTCTAGACCACCTTTACTCCACACACAGAGACGCATACAAAGCTCTCCCTCGCCCTCCATTTGGCAAATCTGACCATAACTCTATCCTCCTGATTCCTGCTTATAAGCAAAAACTAAAGCAGGAAGCACCAGTGACTCGGTTAATAAAAAAGTGGTCAGATGACGCAGATGCTAAGCTACAGGACTGTTTTGCTAGCACAGACTGGAACATGTTCCGGGATTTTCTTCAGACAGCATTGAGGAGTACACCACATCCGTCACTGGCTTCATCAATAAGTGCATCGATGATGTCGTCCCCACAGTGACCGTACGTACATACCCCAACCAGAAGCCATGGATTACAGGCAACATCCACACTAAGCTAAAGGGTAGAGCTGCCGCTTTCAAGGAGCGGGACTCTAACCCAGGTGCTTATAAGAAATCCCGCTATGCCCTCCGACAAACCATCAAACAGGCAAAGAGTCAATACAGGACTAAGATTGAATCCTACTACACCGGCTCCGACGCTCGTCGGATGTGGCAGGGCTTGAAAACTATTACAGACTACAAAGGGAAGCACAGCCGCGAGCTGCCCAGTGACACAAGCCTACCAGATGAGCTAAACCACTTCTATGCTCGCTTCGAGGCAAGCAACACTGAAGCATGCATGAGAGCACCAGCTGTTCCGGATGACTATGTGATCACGCTCTCCGTAGCCGATGTGAGTAAGACTTTTAAGCAGGTCAACATTCACAAGGCCGCAGGGCCAGACGGATTACCAGGACGTGTACTCCGAGCATGTGCTGACCAACTGGCAAGTGTCTTCACTGACATTTTCAACATGTCCCTGACTGAGTCTGTAATACCAACATGTTTCAAGCAGACCACCATAGTCCCCGTGCCCAAGGACCTGCCTAAATGACTACCGACCCGTAGCACTGACGTCTGTAGCCATGAAGTGCTTTGAAAGGCTGGTCATGGCTCACATCAACAGCATTATCCCAGAAACCCTAGACCCACTCCAATTTGCATACCGCCCCAACAGATCCACAGATGATGCAATCTCTATTGCACTCCACACTGCCCTTTCCCACCTGGACAAGAGGAACACCTACGTGAGAATGCTATTCATTGACTACAGCTCAGCATTCAACACCATAGTGCCCTCTAAGCTCATCACTAAGCTAAGGATCCTGGGACTAAACACCTCCCTCTGCAACTGGATCCTGGACTTCCTGACGGGCCGCCCCCAGGTGGTAAGGGTAGGTAACAACACATCTGCCACACTGATCCTCAACACGGGGGCCCCTCAGGGGTGCGTGCTCAGTCCCCTCTTGTACTCTCTGTTCACCCATGACTGCATGGCCAGACACGACCCCAACACCATCATTAAGTTTGCCGACGACACAACAGTGGTAGGCCTGATCACCGACAACGATGAGACAGCCTATAGGGAGGAGGTCAGAGACCTGGCCGTGTGGTGCCAGGACAACAACCTCTCCCTCAACGTGACCAAGACAAAGGAGATGATTGTGGACTACAGGAAAAAAAAGAGGACTGAGCACGCCCCCATTCTCATCGACGGGGCTGTAGTGGAACAGGTTGAGAGCTTCAAGTTCCTTGGTGTCCACATCACCAACAAACTATCATGGTCCAAACACACCAAGACAGTCGTGAAGAGGGCACGACAAAGCCTATTCCCCCTCAGGAGACTGAAAAGATTTGGCATGGGTCCTCAGATCCTCAAAAAATTCTACAGCTGCACCATCGAGAGCATCCTGACTGGTTGCATCACCGCCTGGTATGGCAACTGCTTGGCCTCCGACCGCAAGGCACTACAGAGGGTAGTGCGTACGGCCCAGTACATCACTGGGGCCAAGCTTCCTGCCATCCAGGACCTCTATACCAGGCGGTGTCAGAGGAAGGCCCTCAAAATTGTCAAAGACTCCAGCCACCCTAGTCATAGACTGTTCTCTCTGCTACCGCACGGCAAGCGGTACCGGAGTGCCAAGTCTAGGTCCAAAAGACTTCTCAACAGCTTCTACCCCCAAGCCATAAGACTCCTGAACAGCTAATCATGGCTACCCGGACTATTTGCACTGCCCCCCCACCCCATCCTTTTACGCTGCTGCTACTCTGTTAATTATTTATGCATAGTCACTTTAACTCTACCCACATGTACATATTACTTCAACTACCTCAACTAGCCGGTGCCCCCGCACATTGACTCTGCACCGGTACCCCCCTGTATATATAGCCTCCCTACTGTTATTATATTTTACTTCTGCTCTTTTTTTTCTCAACACTTTTTTTGTTGTTGTTTTATTTGTACTTTTTTGTTAAAAATAAATGCACTGTTGGTTAAGGGCTGTAAGTAAGCATTTCACTGTAATGTCTGCACCTGTTGTATTCGGCGCATGTGGCCAATAAAATTTGATTTGATTTGATTAACAGAACAAACAGAACTAACACTTGATTAACAGAACTAACACAGTGATGTTGTTATGAAGGTTATGTTCAACCACAGCCACAGGGATGTTGTCAATGGTTGTTATGAAGGATCTGTTTAACCACAGCCAAACTGATGATGTTACAGAGCAATGACTGGAAACAGGAAATGGATGATGAGGATGAAGGGTTTGAGGGGAGGAACTAATCGTTACCAAATTGACTAAAACAATCTGTTTGCACTCTGACCTGGTGGTGTGATATTATATGAATGGTGTTTCTAAGCCTGAAAAAAGTTACAAATAGAACTGTTGATATCTTGTAATATTTATTACTTGACTGACCCCCAAATGCACTTTAATTTCCCAATGCCTAATCTTGGTTAGCTAATGGGTTTGTGTCTGTCTGTCTGTCTGTATGGTCTGTCTGTCTGTCTGTCTGTATGGTCTGTATGGTCTGTCTGTCTGTATGGTCTGTCTGTCTGTATGGTCTGTCTGTCTGTCTGTCTGCCTGTCTGTCATCCACAGGGCCCTCTGAGGAACACCTGTGGTCACTTCTGGTTGATGATCTGGGAACAAAATACCAAGGCTGTCGACACAGTTTAGCTGGATCGTGAATTAGTATTGGGCTGTCACATTAACAATATAACGGATCAGGGGTACATTAGCTGTTATAATGACTAACAGAATAGAAAGGGATCAGTGAGTACATAGGTGTAAAGCTGAATAGAGTTATGAGAAGGATAGTGATACTTCGGCTGTTTTAATGCTGAACAGACGTTTTTGATAGGATAGTGTAAATTTGTACTGTATTGTTGAAAAGTAAAGATGATCTGGTACTTTAGGGCTTTTAAAAGCTTCAAGTCAAAGAAGGTCAGTGAGTATTAGGCGCTCATGTGACAATTAAGAAAGGATTTGAGTTTGGTGTTATAATGGAACAGAATAGAAAGGGATAAACATTCTGTATAATGTGAACAGAAGTCTAACAAGGGATCAGTGTGTATTGAGGGTTATATGCTGAACCACAGTATAGAAGGGATGTGAGTCAATGGTTGTTATAAGGAAATCGGTTAAAAGGGACGTGAGCCATAAACTGATCATGCTGACAGAGCATAGAGAATGGATCATGAACATTGGCTGATCAGGCTGACAGAGTTATAGAGAGGTAGGAACATTGGGTTCCAAATGTAACAGAGTTATAGAACGGATCTGAGACTTTGGTTTGTGTGACAGTCATAGGAAGGGATGTTAATTAGCCTGCATAAATGCTAAACAGAATAGAGATGTGAATCTTGGGGTAATTATGTCATCATGCTGAACAGAATGAAGGACTTTAATTGGCTCACATCCCTAACTTGGTTATAAATGGGTTTGTGTACTTGGCTGTTGTATGCTGAACGGTTTATAGAGGTCTGATCTTGCTTTATAATGGAACGTATGGGATCAGTGAGTACGTAGTGTCTGTCTGCTGAACAGGTCTGAGAAGGTCATTTGGTCTTGGCTGTCTTCATGCTAACAGGCCTCTGAGGAAATCAGTGAGTACTTCGGGTTATGAATGCTGAGGAAGAAAGGATCAGAGACAAGGCTGTCATCATGCTGAACAGAGTTATAGAGAAGGGATCAGTGAGTACATTAGGCTGTTATAATGCTGAACAGAGTTATAGAGAAGGGATCAGTGAGTACATTAGGCTGTCATCATGCTGAACAGAGTTATAGAGAAGGGATCAGTGAGTACATTAGGCTGTCATAATGCTGAACAGAGTCATAGAGAAGGGATCAGTGAGTACATTAGGCTGTTATAATGCTGAACAGAGTCATAGAGAAGGGATCAGTGAGTACATTAGGCTGTTATAATGCTGAACAGAGTTATAGGGGAAGGGATCAGTGAGTACATTAGGCTGTTATAATGCTGAACAGAGTTATAGAGAAGGGATCAGTGAGTACATAAGGCTGTTATAATGCTGAACAGTCATAGAGAAGGGATCAGTGAGTACATAACTACTATCTTCTAGTATTGCCTGCATGTGGTACACAGATCACACTATTTTTGGTAAGATGGGGGAGTGAAAAGCCACTTTCTGTGGAGTTGTATTTCCTCCGACTGTGGTTTAGAGAATGGGAGGGGGCCTGACAGTTCCCCAAGCACAGGCTTTTATTCTTCAGATGCTGCTTGAGCCAACCTCCCCTTCATGCATAGTGCTTATGCAGTATATTATTAAGACTGGAAACGCTTCTCTTTTCTGTCACGAGTTCACCGTTCAACTAAGGTGTCTGACTTACTGACTGACTGACTGACTGGCTGACTGGCTGACTGGCTGACTGGCTGACTGGCTGACTGGCTGACTGGCTGACTGGCTGACTGGCTGACTTACTGACTTACTGACTTGCTGACTGGCTGACTGGCTGACTTACTGACTTGCTGACTGGCTGACTGACTGACTGGCTGACTGACTGGCTGACTGGCTGACTGTCTGGCTGACTGGCTGACTGGCTGACTGGCTGACTTACTGGCTGACTGACTGACTGACTGACTGACTGGCTGACTGGCTGACTGACTGACTGACTGGCTGACTGGCTGACTTACTGACTGGCTGACTGGCTGACTTACTGACTGACTGACTGGCTGACTGACTGGCTGACTGGCTGACTGACTGACTGACTGGCTGACTGGCTGACTGGCTGGCTGACTGGCTGACTGGCTGACTGGCTGACTGTCTTCTGTATTTCCCGCCTGACAGGAAAAGTGTGCTCAGTATTGGCCAACGCAGGATGAGCATGAGATGTCGTTCAGAGATACACATTTCCTGATAACGCTGGTTTCAGAAGACGTCAAGTCCTACTACACAACCAGAGTGCTGGAGCTGCATAATGAGAAGGTGAGTCACTTTAACATGATGGAAGTCTGAGTAATGCACCAGGGCTTGTCTCCATAAAGCATGTCATAGCAAGAGTGCTAGTCTAGGATCAGGTCTCCTCTGTGATCTAAAACTTTAAACTGATGCTAGATCAGGGTGAAGGAGTTGTAGAATGCTAACGAGTCATATATCTAAAATGGTGTGAATATGATGATGCATCAGAGATGACGTTGTGATACATCTCTATTAGAGCTGGGCGATATGGACAATAAGTAATATCGCAATATAAAACTGACTTTTCCATTAGTGTCAGGGCTCTAGACTGACTTCCATTAGTGGCAGGGCTCTAGACTGACTTTTCCATTAGTGGCAGGGCTCTAGACTGACTTTTCCATTAGTGGCAGGGCTCTAGACTGACTTTTCCATTAGTGGCAGGGCTCTAGACTGACTTTTCCATTAGTGGCAGGGCTCTAGACTGACTTTTCCATTAGTGGCAGGGCTCTAGACTGACTTTTCCATTAGTGGCAGGGCTCTAGACTGACTTTTCCATTAGTGGCAGGGCTCTAGACTGACTTTTCCATTAGTGGCAGGGCTCTAGACTGACTTTTCCATTAGTAGCAGGGCTCTAGACTGACTTTTCCATTAGTGGCAGGGCTCTAGACTGACTTTTCCATTAGTGGCAGGGCTCTAGACTGACTTTTCCATTAGTGGCAGGGCTCTAGACTGACTTTTCCATTAGTGTCAGGGCTCTAGACTGACTTTTCCATTAGTGGCAGGGCTCTAGACTGACTTTTCCATTAGTGGCAGGGCTCTAGACTGACTTTTCCATTAGTGGCAGGGCTCTAGACTGACTTTTCCATTAGTGGCAGGGCTCTAGACTGACTTTTCCATTAGTAGCAGGGCTCTAGACTGACTTTTCCATTAGTAGCAGGGCTCTAGACTGACTTTTCCATTAGTGGCAGGGCTCTAGACTGACTTTTCCATTAGTGGCAGGGCTCTAGACTGACTTTTCCATTAGTGGCAGGGCTCTAGACTGACTTTTCCATTAGTGGCAGGGCTCTAGACTGACTTTTCCATTAGTGGCAGGGCTCTAGACTGACTTTTTCCATTAGTGGCAGGGCTCTAGACTGACTTTTCCATTAGTGGCAGGGCTCTAGACTGACTTTTCCATTAGTGGCAGGGCTCTAGACTGACTTTTCCATTAGTGGCAGGGCTCTAGACTGACTTTTCCATTAGTGGCAGGGCTCTAGACTGACTTTTCCATTAGTGGCAGGGCTCTAGACTGACTTTCCATTAGTGGCAGGGCTCTAGACTGACTTTTCCATTAGTGGCAGGGCTCTAGACTGACTTTTCCATTAGTGTCAGGGCTCTAGACTGACTTTTCCATTAGTGGCAGGGCTCTAGACTGACTTTTCCATTAGTAGCAGGGCTCTAGACTGACTTTTCCATTAGTGTCAGGGCTCTAGACTGACTTTTCCATTAGTGGCAGGGCTCTAGACTGACTTTTCCATTAGTGGCAGGGCTCTAGACTGACTTTTCTGTGACTTTATCCACTCCACATAGAAACGTATACAGTACATACAAACAACAACTTACAGACGCACAGAAACAATGACTACATCTCATATGCCCAGACCCTCATGCTCTCACCTCCATCCCTGCCCAGACCCTCATGCTCTCACCTCCATCCCTGCCCAGACCCTCATGCTCTCACCTCCATCCCTGACCAGACCCTCATGCTCTCACCTCCATCCCTGCCCAGACCCTCATGCTCTCACCTCCATCCCTGCCCAGACCCTCATGCTCTCACCTCCATCCCTGACCAGACCCTCATGCTCTCACCTCCATCCCTGACCAGACCCTCATGCTCTCACCTCCATCCCTGACCAGACCCTCATGCTCTCACCTCCATCCCTGCCCAGACCCTCATGCTCTCACCTCCATCCCTGCCCAGACCCTCATGCTCTCACCTCCATCCCTGCCCAGACCATCTCACCTCCATCCCTGCCCAGACCCTCATGCTCTCACCTCCATCCCTGACCTACATGCTCTCACCTCCATCCCTGCCCAGACCCTCATGCTCTCACCTCCATCCCTGACCAGACCTTAATGCTCTCACCTCCATCCCTGACCAGACCCTCATGCTCTCACCTCCATCCCTGACCAGACCCTCATGCTCTCACCTCCATCCCTGACCAGACCCTCATGCTCTCACCTCCATCCCTGACCAGACCCTCATGCTCTCACCTCCATCCCTGCCCAGACCCTCATGCTCTCACCTCCATCCCTGACCAGACCCTCATGCTCTCACCTCCATCCCTGACCAGACCCTCATGCTCTCACCTCCATCCCTGCCCAGAACCTCATGCTCTCACCTCCATCCCTGCCCAGACCCTCATGCTCTCACCTCCATACCTGCCCAGACCCTCATGCTCTCACCTCCATCCCTGACCAGACCCTCATGCTCTCACCTCCATCCCTGACCAGACCCTCATGCTCTCACCTCCATCCCTGACCAGACCCTCATGCTCTCACCTCCATCCCTGACCAGACCCTCATGCTCTCACCTCCATCCCTGACCAGACCCTCATGCTCTCACCTCCATCCCTGACCAGACCCTCATGCTCTCACCTCCATCCCTGACCAGACCCTCATGCTCTCACCTCCATCCCTGACCAGACCCTCATGCTCTCACCTCCATCCCTGACCAGACCCTCATGCTCTCACCTCCATCCCTGACCAGACCCTCTCACCTACATCCCTGACCAGACCCTCTCACCTCCATCCCTGCCCAGACCCTCATTCTCTCACCTCCATCCCTAGAGCCTGCATTATTGTTTGCCACTTGGCCTTAAATTGTACCAGTTGTTTTTTCTCGGTCGTCCATGCTATTTCAATATTTCAATAATAAATCATTAGATTTTTCCATTGTGTTAATTATGGCGGATTGATTGATATCCAAGTTTTTAGTATACGTTTTATCAAGATGAGTGATCAAAAGAGAATAGTCCAGCCCATTGGGTGTCTCACTACACCCCCATATGAAATATACAGACAGATGGATTAAAAGTCAGTTTACATTGTAATACTTCTGACAGCCAACTTTCTAGCTCCATCCATAACTTTTGGACTTTGTAGCATTCCCAGAAAGCATAGATTATTGAGTCATTGTTCGTTTTACACTTAAGACATGACTCTGCCGTTGTGCTGTAGAATTTATGAATTTTGTTGTATAATAAATTCTATACATTAGTTTATACTGGATTAAGCGTACATTTTCGTTATCTGTAATTTAGTTAGTTATGCTCCATCATTCCCTCCATTTTGTGCCAACATCAGTTATTTTTAAGTCTCGGTTCCAATAGTTTATATTTTCTTCTAAGTGATTGTCAGTTGGATCGGCTCTCTGCAAGGTTTTGTATATCTTCCCTATCATATGAACATCCTTTTCTGACTCAAATAAGATTCCTTCAAGGTTGCTCTGATTTTAGTGATATGTAACTTTTAAGTTGTATATATTTGAAACTATCTACATTCTATCATGTAAATAAATATATTTTCCAATTTATCAGTGAATTCTGAAAAGCTATCCAAGGATTGTTCCATAAGGTTGTGTTTTTAGGGAGTGATATTGGTTGTTGTAGAATAAGTTTATAGTGTTTTTAACTATGAAGTTGTTAATGTTCTTAGCTTTATCCTTTGAAAATAGACAGGTAAAAAGATTCTGGGGATGAGCATGCGCATCTTCACTATGTACCCATTGTTCCTCTTTAGTGCGTTTAACAATATGTCGCACGTAAAAGCCTTGAATAGCCAGTTGATGCAATTCCAAGTCTGGAAGGTTAAAACCCCCCTCAGACTGAGGAAGATATAAAACTTTCCTCTTTATTCTATGAGTTTTATTTGCCCAAATAAAGTCTGTTATGACCGATATATGACCTTATGGGTCTATAATCAGCAGGGGACTCTCCAAATTTACCTGGTTTCAATATAACTGAAATAACTGTTTGATACATGGAACTAGGAAGTACTGACCTGTGTGACGTGTGTTGTCATTTGTGTAAATAGTGGTGCTACTATAAATAATAATAATGTCCCAAAATGTTGAATAGAATTCTCTGGGAAAGCTTCCGTTCCTGGTGCTTTTCTCTGTGTGAATGTTTTAACAGTATGTCATATTTATTCGTGAGTGATCACTGTTTTAAGTGATTTTTTTTTTTTTGTCTGTTGATATTTTCTTCGGAGTTGAGTCTAAGAAGGCTATAGGATCCATCCAACTGTTTCATTCTGATTTATATAAATGTTCATAGCCTGCATGTTTTTGGCATAATGCTGGCCTAGGCCATATGCTACATGATTCACCACCTGAGGAAGTGGGAACTCAAAACACATCAGCAAGATTGCTCATTTTAAATGTCAAACTGTTGCTAGATTGATCTAACAATACATTTAATGTCCTACAAAAGCGTTCCATTGGTAGGCTCCACTTCATTCCATAGACGCATCATCTCAAGTACATACTCAGTTTGTAAAGTGGTGTTATTTCCTTAACATTGAGAGTTGAGAAATACTTTCTATACTCCCATAAAGCTGAGACGCTCCTCTTTTTTAACAACAGTAAATGCATCCCTCCCTTCACTCCGTGTGCAAAGTGGGGAGATGGAGTGAGAGCCTGCAGCGAGACAGGGCAGATACAGACAATGGGGAGAGGGAGTGAGAGCCTGCAGCGAGACAGGGCAGATACAGACAATGGGGAGAGGGAGTGAGAGCCTGCAGCGAGACAGGGCAGATACAGACAATGGGGAGAGGGAGTGAGAGCCTGCAGCGAGACAGGGCAGATACAGACAATGGGGAGAGGGAGTGAGAGCCTGCAGCGAGACAGGGCAGATACAGACAATGCAAGAAGCAGGTTTAGAACCAAGATATCTGCAGGAACGTTGTGTAGCCTATCATCAAATACAGGTCGTCAAGATAGAGGGAAACCTGTCGGTAAGAGTAGGGCACTGTCGGTAAGAGTAGTAGGGCACTGTCGGTAAGAGTAGGGCACTGTCGGTAAGAGTAGGGCACTGTCGGTAAGAGTAGGGCACTGTCGGTAAGAGTAGGGCACTGTCGGTAAGAGTAGGGCACTGTCGGTAAGAGTAGGGCACTGTCGGTAAGAGTAGGGCACTGTCGGTAGAGTAGGGCACTGTCGGTAAGAGTAGGGCACTGTCGGTAAGAGTAGGGCACTGTCGGTAAGAGTAGGCACTGTCGGTAAGAGTAGGGCACTGTCGGTAAGAGTAGGGCACTGTCGGTAAGAGTAGGGCACTGTCGGTAAGAGTAGGGCACTGTCGGTAAGAGTAGGGCACTGTCGGTAAGAGTAGGGCACTGTCGGTAAGAGTAGGGCACTGTCGGTAAGAGTAGGGCACTGTCGGTAAGAGTAGGGCACTGTCGGTAAGAGTAGGGCACTGTCGGTAAGAGTAGGGCACTGTCGGTAAGAGTAGGGCACTGTCGGTAAGAGTAGGGCACTGTCGGTAAGAGTAGGGCACTGTCGGTAAGAGTAGGGCACTGTCGGTAAGAGTAGGGCACTGTCGGTAAGAGTAGGGCACTGTCGGTAAGAGTAGGGCACTGTCGGTAAGAGTAGGGCACTGTCGGTAAGAGTAGGGCACTGTCGGTAAGAGTAGGGCACTGTCGGTAAGAGTAGGGCACTGTCGGTAAGAGTAGGGCACTGTCGGTAAGAGTAGGGCACTGTCGGTAAGAGTAGGGCACTGTCGGTAAGAGTAGGGCACTGTCGGTAAGAGTAGGGCACTGTCGGTAAGAGTAGGGCACTGTCGGTAAAGAGTAGGGCACTGTCGGTAAGAGTAGGGCCTGTCGGTAAGAGGTAGGGCACTGTCGGTAAGAGTAGGGCACTGTCGGTAAGAGTAGGGCACTGTCGGTAAGAGTAGGGCCACTGTCGGTAAGAGTAGGGGCACTGTCGGTAAGAGTAGGGCACTGTCGGTAAGAGTAGGGCACTGTCGGTGTCAGTCATTTTCAGTTTATCGTCCACTAATTATAGTTCACTAATCTCTATCTATTATCCCCTCCCTTCCTGCCCAGGGACCTCATACAGTGTCCTACTATCTCCAGGGTCAGGGTCAATACAGTGTCCTACTATCTCCAGGGTTAGGGTCAATACAGTGTCCCTACTATCTCCAGGGTCAGGGTCAATACAGTTGTCCTACTATCTCCAGGGTCAGGGTCAATACACGTGTCCTACTATCTCCAGGGTCAGGGTCAATACCAGTGTCCTACTATCTCCAGGGTCAGGGTCAAATACAGTGTACTACTATACTCCAGGGTCAGGGTCAATACAGTGTCCTACTATCTCCAGGGTCAGGGTCAATACAGTGTCCTACTATCTCCAGGGTTAGGGTCAATACAGTGTACTACTATCTCCAGGGTCAGGGTCAATACAGTGTCCTACTATCTCCAGGGTTAGGGTCAATACAGTGTCCTACTATCTCCAGGGTTAGGGTCAATACAGTGTCCTACTATCTCCAGGGTTAGGGTCAATACAGTGTCCTACTATCTCCAGGGTTAGGGTCAATACAGTGTCCTACTATCTCCAGGGTTAGGGTCAATACAGTGTCCTACTATCTCCAGGGTTAGGGTCAATACAGTGTCCTACTATCTCCAGGGTTAGGGTCAATACAGTGTCCTACTATCTCCAGGGTTAGGGTCAATACAGTGTCCTACTATCTCCAGGGTTAGGGTCAATACAGTGTCCTACTATCTCCAGGGTTAGGGTCAATACAGTGTCCTACTATCTCCAGGGTTAGGGTCAATACAGTGTCCTACTATCTCCAGGGTTAGGGTCAATACAGTGTACTACTATCTCCAGGGTCAGGGTCAATACAGTGTCCTACTATCTCCAGGGTTAGGGTCAATACAGTGTCCTACTATCTCCAGGGTCAGGGTCAATACAGTGTCCTACTATCTCCAGGGTCAGGGTCAATACAGTGTCCTACTATCTCCAGGGTCAGGGTCAATACAGTGTCCTACTATCTCCAGGGTTAGGGTCAATACAGTGTCCTACTATCTCCAGGGTTAGGGTCAATACAGTGTCCTACTATCTCCAGGGTCAGGGTCAATACAGTGTACTCCTCCTATCTCTTTTTTTCCAAGGATCAGAATTGGAATTTGTTTGCTTCCTGAATTGAAGTGGAATTGAGTCCAATCCTGCTCCTGACTATATCTACAGTACGTCCCAAATGACACCCTATTCCCTTTGTGGTGCAGTTTAGACCGGGGCCCACAGGACTCTGGTCAGAAGTAATGTACTATATAGGGAATAGGGTGCCATTTGGGACACAAGCAATGTCTTTTGTCCTCTGTGTCTTACAGACGGGGGAGAAGAGAGAGATCTATCACTTTCACTACACCACCTGGCCTGACTTTGGTGTCCCAGAATCGCCGGCGTCCTTCCTCAACTTCCTGTTCAAGGTGCGGGAGTCTGGCTCGTTGGGGGCGGACCACGGACCGGCGGTGGTGCACTGCAGCGCTGGAATTGGCCGCTCAGGCACCCTCTCATTGGTTGACACCTGTCTGGTCCTGGTAAGCCCCACCCCTCACACTAACTAGTCTGATAATTTGGTAGTTTTACAGTTGACACCATAAACCAGTCATGTCAAACTCATTTCCCCAGCATTCGGTCCAGAAGGGGCGCACTTATTTATACAGTGCATTCGGAAAGTATTCAGACCCCTTCCCCTTTTCCACATACAGCCTTATTCTAAAATGGATTGAAAAAAAAATACCCTATAATGACAACGTGAAAACAGGTTTTTAGAAATGTTTGCAAATTTATAAAAAATAAAAAAACGATACCTTATTTACATAAGTATTCAGACCCTTCGCAATGAGACTCAAAATTGAGCTCAGGTGCATCCTGTGTCCATTGATCATCCTTGAGATGTTTCTACAACTTGATTGGAGTCCACTTGGACATGATTTGAAAAGGCACACACCTGTCTATATAAGGCCCCACAGTTGACAGTGCATGTCAGAGCAAAAACCAAGCCATGAGGTCGAAGGAATTGTCCGTAGAGCTCCGAGACAGGATTGTGTCGAGGCACAGATCTGGGGAAGGGTACCACAACATTTCTGCAGCATTGAAGGTCCAAGAACACAGTGGCCTCCATCATTCTTAAATGGAAGAAGTTTGTAACCACCAAGACTCTTCCTAGAGCTGGCCGCCCGGCCAAACTGAGCAATCGGGGGAGAAGGGCCTTGGTCAGGGAGGTGACCAAGAACCCGATGGTCACTCTGACAGAGCTCCAGAGTTCCTCTGTGGAGATGGGAGAACCTTTCAGAAGGACAACCATCTCTGCAGCACTCCACCAATCAGGCTTTTAAGGTAGAGTGGCCAGACGAAAGCCACTCCTCAGTAAAAGGCACATGACAGCCTGCATGGAGTTTGCCAAAAGGCACCTAAAGGACTCTCAGACCATGAGAAACCAAGATCGAACTCCAAGGCCTGAATGCCAAACAAAGTAAAGGGTCTGACTACTTATGAAAATGTAATTTTGCAAAGATTTCTACAAACCTGTTTTTGCTTTGTCATTATGGGGTATTGTGTGTAGATTGATACAAATATTGAATCCATTTTAGAATAAGGCTGTAACGTAACAGAATGTGGAAGAAGTCCAGGGGTCTGAATACTTTCCCAATGCTCTCTGTATGTCCTCGCCATTAAAAATTGCAAAAAAATAGTCCTCTATCTATCGCTTTTGGAATTTTCAATTCTCCCTGACTTTCTAGCTTTCGTTTCGATGACTGTTAGCTAGCCGGGGAGAGTGAGGAGACTACCTGTAGCTCCATGGAGTGAGGAATACCTGAGCCCATTAGAGTAGCTAGCTGGGGAGAGTGAGGAGATACCTGTAGCCCCATTAGACTGTTAGCTAGCTGGGGAGAGTGGGGGAGATACCTGTAGCTCCATTAGACTGTTAGCTAGCTGGGGAGAGTGGGGGAGACTACCTGTAGCCCCGTTAGACTGTTAGCTAGCTGGGGAGAGTGAGGAGACTACCTGTAGCTCCATTAGACTGTTGCTAGCTGGGGAGAGTGAGGAGACTAACTGTAGCCCATTAGACTGTTAGCTAGCTGGGGAGAGTGAGGAGACTACCTGTAGCTCCATTAGACTGTTAGTAGCGGGGAGAGTGAGGAGATACCTGTAGCTCCATTAGACTGTTAGCTAGCTGGGGAGAGTGAGGAAGACACCTGTAGCTCCATTAGACTGTTAGCTAGCTGGGCGAGAGTGAGGAGACTACCTGTAGCTCCATTAGACTGTTAGCTAGCTGGGGAGAGTGGGACTACCGTAGCCCCTTAGATGTTAGCAGCTGGGGAGAGTGAGGAGACTACCTGTGTTTCCATTAGACTGTTAGCTAGTGGGAAGTGAGGAGACTAACCAAGATGTAGTCGGGGAGAGTGAGAGACTCCGAGCTCAGGATGTGCTGAGGAAGATGGGAGGTACCACAAATTTGCTAGCTGGAAGTGAGGAACACAGTGCTCATTACTTCTAGCTGGGGAGAGTGAGAGTTGTAGCCCAAGACTTTCTCTGGGAGAGTGGGGACACCGGCTCAAGACTGAGCTAGCGGGGGAGAGGAGGGACTACCTGGTTAGAGTAGCTACCGGGGAGATGGGTACTTACTGAGCTCCAAGAGTTACTCTGGGAGATGGGAGAACCTTCAGGAAACTGTCTGCTGGGGAGAGGCAACTCCACCCTCAGGCTGTTAGCTAGCTGGGAGAGTGAGAGACTCCTAGTATAAAGAGCGAATGAGAGCTGAGTGGATGTTAGCTAAGATGAGGAACTCCGTACCATTGAGAGCTACTGAGAGGAAACTACCTGTGCCCAAACAAAGTGGAGAGTGAGGGTCTGTACTCCTTGAAATGTTAGTAGGGGAAAGAGACAACCTGTTTTGCTTAGCTTATGGGGAGTGTGAGGAGACTACTGTGAGTCCATTAGATTAAGGGGGGGGCTTGTATGTTGACTGTAGCAGCTGGGAGAGTGAGGAGACTACCTTAGCTCTCTGTAGCCTAGCTAAGTGAGAGAATTAGTCCTTTAGATGTAGCTGCTGGGAAGTGAGAGACTACCTGAGCTCGTTCGAGTTAGCTACGGGAGTTCTTCTCGTGACTGTTAGCTAGCTGGGGAGAGTGAGGAGACTACCTGTAGCTCCATTAGACTGTTAGCTAGCTGGGGAGAGTGAGGAGACTACCTGTAGCTCCATTAGACTGTTAGCTAGCTGGGGAGAGTGAGGAGACTACCTGTAGCTCCATTAGACTGTTAGCTAGCTGGGGAGAGTGAGGGAGCACCTGTATCGTTAGGACTGTTAGTAGCTGGGGAGAGGAGGAGACTACCTGTAGCTCCATTAGACTGTTAGCTAGCTGGGGAGAGTGAGGAGACTACCTGTAGCTCCATTAGACTGTTAGCTAGCTGGGGAGAGTGAGGAGACTACCTGTAGCTCCATTAGACTGTTAGCTAGCTGGGGAGAGTGAGGAGACTACTGTAGCCCCATTAGACTGTTAGCTAGCTGGGGAGAGTGAGGAGACTACCTGTAGCTCCATTAGACTGTTAGCTAGCTGGGGAGAGTGAGGAGACTACCTGTAGCTCCATTAGATGTTAGCTAGCTGGGGAGAGTGAGGGGGACTACCTGTAGCTCCGTTAGACTGTTAGCTAGCTGGGGAGAGTGAGGAGACTACCTGTAGCTCCGTTAGACTGTTAGCTAGCTGGGGGAGAGTGAGGAGACTACCTGTAGCTCCGTTAGACTGTTAGCTAGCTGGGGAGAGTGAGGAGACTACCTGTAGCTCAGTTAGACTGTTAGCTAGCGGGGGAGAGTGAGGAGACTACCTGTAGCTCCATTAGACTGTTAGCTAGCTGGGAGAGTGAGGAGACTACCTGTAGCTCCATTAGACTGTTAGCTAGCTGGGGAGAGTGAGGAGACTACCTGTAGCTCCATTAGACTGTTAGCTAGCTGGGGAGAGTGAGGAGTTGTAGATGACTTTAGCCTGGTAGCTCGTCTCATTAGACTGTTAGCTAGCTGGGGAGAGTGAGGAGACTACCTGTAGCTCCATTAGACTGTTAGCTAGCTGGGGAGGGGTGAGGAGACTACCTGTAGCTCCATTAGACTGTTAGCTAGCTGGGGAGAGTGAGGAGACTACCTGTAGCTCCATTAGACTGTTAGCTAGCGGGGAGAGTGAGGAGACTACCTGTAGCTCCATTAGACTGTTAGCTAGCTGGGGAGAGTGAGGAGACTACCTGTAGCTCCATTAGACTGTAGCTAGCTGGGGAGAGTGAGGGACTACCTGTAGCTCCATTAGACTGTAGTAGCTGGGGAGAGTGAGGAGACTACCTGTAGCTCCATTAGACTGTTAGCTAGCTGGGGAGAGTGAGGGAAGTGCTCTTAGACGTTAGCTAGCTGGGAGGAGTGAGGAGCTACCTGTAGCTCCGTTAGGACTGTTAGCTAGCTGGGGAGAGTGAGGAGACTACCTGTAGCTCCATAGACTGTTAGCTAGCTGGGGAGAGTGAGGAGACTACCTGTAGCTCCATTAGACTGTTAGCTAGCTGGGGAGAGTGAGGAGACTACCTGTAGCTCCATTAGACTGGTTAGCTAGCGGGGGGAAAGAGTGAGGAGACTACCTGTAGCTCCATTAGACTGTTAGCTAGCTGGGGAGAGTGAGGAGATACCTGTAGCTCCATTGACTGTTAGTAGGGGAGAGTGAGGAGACTACCTGTAGCTCCATTAGACTGTTAGCTAGCTGGGGAGGAGTGAGGAGACTACCTGTAGCTCCATTAGACTGTAGCTAGCTGGGGAGAGTGAGGAGACTACCTGTAGCTCATTAGACTGTTAGCTAGCTGGGGAGAGTGAGGAGACTACCTGTAGCTCCATTAGACTGTTAGCTAGCTGGGGAGAGTGAGGAGACTAACTGTAGCTCCATTAGACTGTTAGCTAGCTGGGGAGAGGGGAGATCCTGAGCTCTTAGATGTTAGCTAGCTGGGGAGAGTGAGGAGACTACCTGTAGCTCCATTAGACTGTTAGCTAGCTGGGGAGAGTGAGGAGACTACCTGTAGCTCCATTAGACTGTTAGCTAGCTGGGGAGAGTGAGGAGACTACCTGTAGCTCCGTTAGACTGTTAGCTAGCGGGGAGGTGAGGAGACTACCTGTAGCTCCGTTAGACTGTTAGCTAGCTGGGGAGAGTGAGGAGACTACCTGTAGCTCCATTAGACTGTTAGCTAGCTGGGGAGAGTGAGGAGACTACCTGTAGCTCCATTAGGACTGTTAGCTAGCTGGGGAGAGTGAGGAGACTACCTGTAGCTCCATTAGACTGTTTAGCTAGCTGGGGAGAGTGAGGAGACTACCTGTAGCTCCATTAGACTGTTAGCTAGCTGGGGAGAGTGAGGAGACTACCTGTAGCTCCGTTAGACTGTTAGCTAGCTGGGGGAGTGAGGAGGACTACCTGTAGCTCCTTAGACTGTTAGCTAGCTGGGGAGAGTGAGGAGACTACCTGTAGCTCCATTAGACTGTTAGCTAGCTGGGGAGAAGTGAGGAGACTACCTGTAGCTCATTAGACTGTTAGCTAGCTGGGGAGAGTGAGGAGACTACCTGTAGCCCCATTAGACTGTTGCTAGCTGGGGAGAGTGAGGAGACTACCTGTAGCTCCATTAGACTTTTAGCTAGCTGGGGAGAGTGAGGAAGACTACCTGTAGCTCCATTAGACTGTTAGCTAGCTGGGGAGAGTGAGGAGACTACCTGTAGCTCCATTAGACTGTTAGCTAGCTGGGGAGAGTGAGGAGACTACCTGTAGCTCCATTAGACTGTTAGCTAGCTGGGGAGGAGAGGGGAGGAGACTACCTGTAGCTCCATTAGACTGTTAGCTAGCTGGGGAGAGTGAGGAGACTACCTGTAGCTCCATTAGACTGTTAGCTAGCTGGGGAGAGTGAGGAGGACTACCTGTAGCTCCATTAGACTGTTAGGCTAGGTGGGAGAGAGAGTGTGAGGGAGGACTACCTGTAGCTCCATTAGACTGTTAGCTAGTGGGGAGAGTGAGGAGACTACCTGTAGCTCCTTAGACTGTTAGCTAGCTGGGGAGGAGTGAGGAGACTACCTGTAGCTCCATTAGACTGTTAGCTAGCTGGGGAGAGTGAGGAGACTACCTGTAGCTCCATTAGACTGTTAGCTAGCTGGGGAGAGTGAGGAGACTACCTGTAGCTCCATTAGACTGTTAGCTAGCTGGGGAGAGTGAGGAGACTACCTGTAGCTCCGTTAGATGTTAGCTAGCTGGGGAGAGTGAGGAGACTACCTGTAGCTCCATTAGACTGTTAGCTAGCTGGGGAGAGTGAGGAGACTACCTGTAGCTCCATTAGACTTTTAGCTAGCTGGGGAGAGTGAGGAGACTACCTGTAGCTCCATTAGACTGTTAGCTAGCTGGGGAGAGTGAGGAGACTACCTGTAGCTCCATTAGACTGTTAGCTAGCTGGGGAGAGGTGAGGAGACTACCTGTAGCTCCATTAGACTGTTAGCTAGCTGGGGAGGAGTGAGGAGACTACCTGTAGCTCCGTTAGACTGTTTAGCTAGCCGGGGGAGAGTGAGGAGACTACCTGTAGCTCCGTTAGACTGTTAGACTAGCTGGGGAGAGTGAGGAGACTACCTGTAGCTCCATTAGACTGTTAGCTAGCTGGGGAGAGTGAGGAGACTACCTGTAGCTCCATTAGACTGTTAGCTAGCTGGGGAGAGTGAGGAGACTACCTGTAGCTCCGTTAGACTGTTAGCTAGCTGGGGAGAGGGAGGAGACTACCTGTAGCTCCATTGGGACTGTTAGCTAGCTGGGGAGAGTGAGGAGACTACCTGTAGCTCCGTTAGACTGTTAGCTAGCTGGGGAGAGTGAGGAGACTACCTGTAGCTCCATTAGACTGTTAGCTAGCTGGGGAGAGTGAGGAGACTACCTGTAGCTCCATTAGACTGTTAGCTAGCTGGGGAGAGTGAGGAGACTACCTGTAGCTCCGTTAGACTGTTAGCTAGCTGGGGAGAGTGAGGAGACTACCTGTAGCTCCATTAGACTGTTAGCTAGCTGGGGAGAGTGAGGAGACTACCTGTAGCTCCATTAGACTGTTAGCTAGCTGGGGAGAGTGAGGAGACTACCTGTAGCTCCATTAGACTGTTAGCTAGCTGGGGAGAGTGAGGAGACTACCTGTAGCTCCATTAGACTGTTAGCTAGCTGGGGAGAGGGGAGGAGACTACCTGTAGCTCCATTAGACTGTTAGCTACCCTGGGGAGAGTGAGGAGACTACCTGTAGCTCCGTTAGACTGTTAGCTAGCTGGGGAGAGTGAGGAGACTACCTGTAGCTCCGTTAGACTGTTAGCTAGCTGGGGAGAGTGAGGAGACTACCTGTAGCTCCATTAGACTGTTAGCTAGCTGGGGAGAGTGAGGAGACTACCTGTAGCTCCATTAGACTGTTAGCTAGCTGGGGAGAGTGAGGAGGACTACCTGTAGCTCCATTAGACTGTTAGCTAGCTGGGGAGAGTGAGGAGACTACCTGTAGCTCCATTAGACTGTTAGCTAGCTGGGGAGAGTGAGGAGACTACCTGTAGCTCCTTAGACTGTTAGCTAGCTGGGGAGAGTGAGGAGACTACCTGTAGCTCCATTAGACTGTTAGCTAGCTGGGGAGAGTGAGGAGACTACCTGTAGCTCCATTAGACTGTTAGCTAGCTGGGGAGGGAGTGAGGAGACTACCTGTAGCTCCATTAGACTGTTAGCTAGCTGGGGAGAGTGAGGAGACTACCTGTAGCTCCATTAGACTGTTAGTAGCTGGGGAGAGTGAGGAGACTACCTGTAGCTCCATTAGACTTTTAGCTAGCTGGGGAGAGTGAGGAGACTACCTGTAGCTCTTAGACTGTTAGCTAGCTGGGGAGAGTGAGAGGAGACTACCTGTAGCTCCATAGACTGTTAGTAGCGGGGAGGGGAGACTACCGTAGCCATTAGGTTAGCTAGCTGGGGAGAGTGAGGAGACTACCTGTAGCTCCATTAGACTGTTAGCTAGCTGGGGAGAGTGAGGAGACTACCTGTAGCTCCATTAGACTGTTAGCTAGCTGGGGAGAGTGAGGAGACTACCTGTAGCTCCGTTAGACTGTTAGCTAGCTGGGGAGAGTGAGGAGACTACCTGTAGCTCCATTAGACTGTTAGCTAGCTGGGGAGAGTGAGGAGACTACCTGTAGCTCCGTTAGACTGTTAGCTAGCTGGGGAGAGTGGGAGGAGACTACCTGTAGCTCCATTATCATCTTGTTTGACAGCCATGCTTTAAACACTATTTGAGTGTGATGGCTCGATACTGTATTATATGTGGAGCATAGATTTCTAACCTGATTTGCCTTTCTTAATTGATAGTTGGATTGAATTGGATGGAATAGCATGATGAGCATGTTAAGGAAAAGGAATGTTCACAGCCAACAAACACATCTTCAGCTCTCAACCATTGAACCTGTGGTTTCTTTGTCTGTCTCTGTGGTGTCAGATGGACAAGAGGAAAGACCCATTGTCTGTGGACATCAAGGCCGTGCTGCTGGACATGAGGAAGTACCGTATGGGTCTGATCCAGACACCTGACCAGCTACGCTTCTCCTACAGGGCTGTCCTGGAGGGAGCCAAGTACATCATGGGGGACTGCTCTGTACAGGTAACACCTAACCCTCTCTAGGACAAGTAGATACTTCTCCTACAGGGCTGTCCTGGAGGGAGCCAAGTACATCATGGGGGACTGCTCTGTACAGGTAACACCTAACCCTCTCTAGGACAAGTAGATACTTCTCCTACAGGGCTGTCCTGGAGGGAGCCAAGTACATCATGGGGGACTGCTCTATAGTACAGGTGGATAGCACACCTAGCTACAGGTGGAGAACACACCTAGCTACAGGTGGATAACACACCTAGCTACAGGTGGAGAACACACCTAGCCACAGGTGGATAACACACCTAGCTACAGGTGGAGAACACACCTAGCTACAGGTGGATAACACACCTAGCCACAGGTGGAGAACACACCTGGATAACACACCTAGCTACAGGTGGATTATTTATTATTATTATTATTATAACACACCTGGATAACACACCTAGCCACAGGTGGATAACACACCTAGCTACAGGTGGATAACACACCTAGCTACAGGTGGATAACACACCTAGCCACAGGTGGATAACACACCTAGCCACAGGTGGAGAACACACCTAGCTACAGGTGGATAACACACCTAGCTACAGGTGGATAACACACCTAGCTACAGGTGAAAACACCCTAGCTACAGGTGGAGAACACACTAGCTACAGGTGGATAACACACCTAGCCACAGGTGGAGAACACAACTAGCCACAGGTGGATAACACACCTAGCTACAGGTGGATAACACACCTAACCACAGGTGGATAACACACCTAGCTACAGGTGGATAACACACCAGCCACAGGTGGATAACACACCTAGCCACAGGTGGATAACACACCTAGCTACAGGTGGATAACACACCTAGCCACAGGTGGAGAACACACCTAGCCACAGGTGGAGAACACACCTAGCTACAGGTGGATAACACACCTAGCTACAGGTGGATAACACACCTAGCTACAGGTGGATAACACACCTAGCCACAGGTGGATAACACACCTAGCCACAGGTGGATAACACACCTGGATAACACAGGTGGATAACACACCTAGCCACAGGTGGATAACACACCTAGCCACAGGTGGATAACACACCTAGCCACAGGTGGATAACACACCTAGCCACAGGTGGATAACACACCTAGCTACAGGTGGATAACACACCTAGCTACAGGTGGATAACACACCTAGCCACAGGTGGATAACACCACCAAACCCACAGGTGGAGAACACACCTAGCTACAGGTGGATAACACCCCTAGCTACAGGTGGATAACACACCTAGCTACAGGTGGAGAACACACCTAGCTACAGGTGGATAACACACCTAGCCACAGGTGGAGAACACAACTAGCCACAGGTGGATAACACACCTAGCTACAGGTGGATAACACACCTAGCCACAGGTGGATAACACACCTAGCCACAGGTGGATAACACACCTAGCCACAGGTGGATAACACACCTAGCCACAGGGGGATAACACACCTAGCCACAGGGGGAAAACACACCTAGCCACAGGTGGATCCCACACCTAGCTACAGGTGGATAACCCCACCTAGCAACAGGTGGATAACACACCTAGCCACGGTGGATAACCACACCTAGCCACGGGTGGTTTAACACACCTAGCCACAGGTGGATAACACACCTAGCTACAGGTGGAAAACACACCTAGCTACAGGTGGAGAACACACCTAGCCACAGGTGGATAACACACCTAGCCACAGGTGGATAACACACCTAGCCACAGGTGGATAACACACCAAAAGCCACAGGTGGATAACACCCCCTAGCCACAGGTGGATAACACACCTAGCCACGGGTGGATAACACACACCTAGCCACAGGTGGTTTAACACACCTAGTACAGGGGGGATAACACACCTAGCCACAGGTGGATAACACACCTAGCCACAGGTGGATAACACACCTAGCCACAGGTGGATAACACACCTAGCCACAGGTGGATAACACACCTAGCCACAGGTGGATAACACACCTAGCCACAGGTGGATAACACACCTAGCTACAGGGGGGATAACACACCTACCAAAGGTGGATAACACACACCTAGCCCACAGGGGGATAACACACCTAGCTACAGGTGGATAACCCCACCTAGCCACGGGTGGAGAACACACCTAGCCCAGGTGGAGAACACCCCTAGCTACAGGTGAAAACACACCTAGCTACAGGTGGATAACACCCCCTAGCTACAGGTGGATAACACACCTAGCCACAGGTGGATAACACACCTAGCCACAGGTGGATAACACACCTGGATAACACAGGTGGATAACACACCTAGCCACAGGTGGATAACACACCTAGCCACAGGTGGATAACACACCTAGCCACAGGTGGATAACACACCTAGCCACAGGTGGATAACACACCTGGATAACACAGGTGGATAACACACCTGGATAACACAGGTGGATAACACACCTAGCCGCAGGTGGATAACACACCTAGCCACAGGTGGATAACACACCTAGCCCAGTGGGATAACCACCTAGCCACAGGTGATAACACCAGCCACGGTGGATAACCACCTAGCCACAGGTGGAGAACACACCTAGCTACAGTGGATAACACACCTAGCCACAGGTGGATAACACACCTAGCCACAGGTGGATAACACACCTAGCTACAGGTGGATAACACACCTACCACAGGTGGAAAACACACCTAGCCACAGGTGGATAACACACCTAGCCACAGGTGGATAACACACCTGGATAACACAGGTGGATAACACACCTGGATAACACAGGTGGATAACACACCTGGATAACACACCTGGATAACACAGGTGGATAACACACCTGGATAACACAGGTGGATAACACACCTAGCTACAGGTGGATAACACACCTAGCTACAGGTGGATAACACACCTAGCCACAGGTGGATAACACACCTAGCCACAGGTGGATAACACACCTAGCCACAGGTGGATAACACACCTAGCCACAGGTGGAAAACCCACACCTGGATAACACAGGTTGATAAAAACCCTGGAAAACACAGGGGGGATAAACACCGGGAAATAACACAGGTGGATAACACACCTACTACGGTGGATAACACACCTAGCCACAGGTGGATAACACACCTAGCCACAGGTGGATAACACACCTAGCCACAGGTGGATAACACACCTAGCCACAGGTGGATAACACACCTAGCCACAGGTGGATAACACACCTAGCCACAGGTGGATAACACACCTAGCTACAGGTGGAGGGAGCCAAGTACATCATGGGGGACTCCTCTCCTCTGCAAGTAGAGCACCTGTGAGGTGGCTGGCTCAGAGGCAAAGTGACTTCAAGTTCTATTTGAGTTAATCTGTCTCTCTTTTCCTCCCCTCTTTCGCTCCCCTCTTTCTCTGTTTCCTCTAGAAAATGTGGCGTGAGTTGTCTAAAGAGGACCAGGAGCCAGTGTCTGATTCTGAATCCCCTCCTCCTGCCCAGCCACCACTCCAATGTCCCCCTGGGAAAATACATGCACCGGGTGCCGGGGGGAAGAGAGGGGACGAACTGGGAGAGGACGACGGGGACAGAGTCACCATATAATGAACAGGACATGGACGGGGGGACAACTAAGTGAGTATTGTCTGGGTAGTAGGGGGATGTAGTAGAGACTGACTGGTAGTAGGGGGGGATGTAGTAGAGACTGGCTGGTAGTAGGGGGATGTAGTAGAGACTGTCTGGTAGTAGGGGGATGTAGTAGAGACTGGCTGGTAGTAGGGGGATGTAGTAGAGACTGTCTGGTAGTAGGGGGATGTAGTAGAGACTGGCTGGTAGTAGGGGATTAGTAGAACTGTCGGTAGTAGGGGATGTAGTGAGACTGGCTGGTAGTAGGGGGGTTAGGGAGAGACGGGCTGGTATTGGGGGATGTATAGAACTGGCTGGGAGTAGGGGGGGTATAGAACTGTCTGGGAGTAGGGGGGGGGTTAGTAAGAAATGACTGGGATTTGGGGATGTATTAGAAATGGCTGGGAAATAGGGGGGTGTAGTAGAACTGTTGGTAGTAGGGGGATTAGTGGGAACTGTCTGGTAGTAGGGGAGTATGAGACTGACTGGGAGTAGGGGGTGTAATAGAGACTGTCTGGGTATAGGGGGGGTTTTTAGAGACTGTCTGATAGGGGGATGTAGTGAGACTGACTGGTAGTAGGGGATTATAAGACTGTCTGGTAGTAGGGGGGTGTGAGACTGTCTGGTTTAAAAGGGGGGTTTTAGTAGAATGCTGGTAGTAGGGGATTTGTGTGGGTGGAGTAGGGGATGTTAGAGACTTGGGGGTAGTAGGGGGATGTGTAGGACTGCTGGGATAGGGGGATGTAGTAGAGACTGATGTCGGATAGGGGGATGTATAGAACGGCTGGTAGTAGGGGGTTAGTAGAACTGTCTGGTAGAGGGGGATGTAGTAGAACTTTGGGTGGTATAGGGGGATGTAGTAGAGACTGTCTGTAGTATGGGGATGTAGTAGAGACTGTCTGGTATAGGGGGATGTAGTGAGACTGTCTGGGAGTAGGGGATAGTGAGAGACTGTCGTAGTAGGGTGGGTTTAGTAGACGACTGACTGGTGTAGGGGGGGGATGTTTAGTAGAGAACTGTCTGGTAGATAGGGAGGATGTATAGAGACTGTCTGGTAGTCGGGGGATGTTAGAGACTGACCTGTAGTAGGGGCATGTAGTAAAGACGTCTGTAGTAAGGGGGATGTATAGAGACTGTCTTGTATAGGGGGATGTAGTAGAGAACTGTTCTGGTAGTAGGGTGGTGGATGTATAGAGACTTACCTGGTAGTATGGGTGTAGTAAGACTGTCTGGGTATAGGGGGATGTAGTAAGACTGTCTGGTAGTAGGGGGATGATAGTAGAGACTGACTGTCCTGGTAGTAGGTGGATTAGTAGAGACTACTGGTAGTAGGGGGATGGTAATAGAAGACTGTCTGTAGTTAGGGGGGATGTATAGACTGTCTGGGTATAGGGGGATGTTAGTATAGACTGCTGGTATTTTGGGGATGTAGTGAGACTGGCTGTAGTAGGGGGATGTAGTCAGAGAAACTGACTGTCTGGTAGTATGGGATGTATATAGACTGTCTGGGTATAGGGGGTGTAGTTAGAGACTGACCTGGTAGTAGGGGGATTAGTAGAGACTGTCCTGGTAGGAGGGGGATGTTAGTAGAGACTGACTGGTAGTAGGGGTATGGAATCAGAGACTGGCTGGTAGTAGGGGGATTCAGTAGCACTGTCTGGTAGTAGTGATGTAAGGGAGACTGTCTGGTAGTATGGGATGTAGTAGAGACTGTCCTGGTAGTATGGGGATGTAGTAGAGAAGACTGTCTGGTTATAGGGGATGCTCTAGAGACTGTCTGGTAGTAGGGGATTGTATTAGAGACTTTCTGGTAGTAGGGGGATGTAGTGAGACAGACTGTCTGGTAGTAGGGGGATGTATTTAGAGCTGTCTGGTATATAGGGGAATTAGTGATACTGTCTGGTATAGGGGGATGTGTGGAGACTGTCTGGTAGTAGGTGGATGTAGTAGCGACGACTGGTAGTAAGGTGGAGTCTAGAGACTGTCTGGTAGTAGGGGGATGTAGTAAGAGACTGTCTGGTAGTAGGGGATGTAGTGAGACTGCTGGCTGGTAGTAGGGGGATGTAGTAGAGACTGGCTGGTAGTAGGCGGGGGATGTGTAAGCTGGCTGGTAGTAGGGGAGATGTAGTAGAGACTGTCTGTGTAGTCGGGGGGATGTAGTAGAGACTGACTGTCTGGTAGTAGGGGGATGTAGTAGAGACGGCTGGTAGTAGGGGATGGTAGTAAGAAAACTGTCTGATAGTAGGGGGATGTAGTAGAGACTGTCGGGTAGTAGTGATGTAGTAGAGACTGCTGGTATAGGGTGATGTAGTAGAAGACTGACGTCCTGGTAGTAGGGGATTTGTAGAGCCTGTCCTGTAGTAGGGGGATGTAGTAAGACTGACTGGTAGTAGGGGGATGTAGTAGAATACTGGCTGGATATAGGGGGATGTAGTGTAGACTGGTCTGGTAGTAGGGATGTCGAAGACTGCCTGGTATAGGGGGATGTAGTAGAGACTGTCTGTAGTAGGGGATTTAGTAGAGACTGACTGGTAGTAGGGGGATGTAGTGGAGACTGGCTGGTAGTAGGGGGATGTAGTAGAGACGGCTGTTAGTAGTGGATGTTATTAGAGACTGTCCTGTAGTAGGGGGATGTAGTAAGACTGTCCTGTTAGTAGGGGGATGGTAGTGTAGAGACTGGCTGATAGTAGGGGGATGTAGTAGAGACTAGACTGGTAGTAGGGGATTTAGTGGAGACTGTCTGGTAGTAGGGGGATGTAGTGGAGACGGTCGTTATGGGGGAATGTAGTAAGACTGTCTGGTAGTAGGGGGGATGTAGTAGAGACTGTCTGTAGTAGGGGGATTAGTAGAGACTGTCTGGTATAAGGGGATGTATAGAGACTGTCTGGTCTAGGGGGGGAGTAAGTAGGACCTGTCTGGTAGTAGCGGGATGTAGTAGAGACTGGCTGGTAGTAGGGGGATGTAGTAGAGACTGACTGGTAGTAGGGGGATGTAGTAGAGACTGTCTGGGAATAAGGGTGATTAGGTAGAGCCCTGGGTCCTGGTAGTAAGGGGGATGTAGTAGAGACTGTTCTGGTAGTAGGGGGATGTAGTAGAGACGGACTGTCTTTAGTAGGGGGATGTAGTAAGACTGTCTGTAGTAGGGGGATGTAGTAGAGACTGTCTGGTATTAGGGGGAATGTAGTAATCAGACTGGCTGGTCGTAAGGGATGTAGTAAGAGACCTGGGCTGGTATAGGGGATGTCGTAGAGACTGTCTGGTAGTCACGGGGGATGTAGTATAACTGGCTGGATAGTAAGGGGATGTAGTAGGACTGTCTGGTATTAGGGGATGTATAAGACTGTCTGGTAGTAGGGGGATGTAGTAGAGACTGACTGTCTGGTAGTAGGGGGATGTAGTAGAGACTGGCTGGTAGTAGGGGGATGTAGTAGAGACTGGCTGGTAGTAGGGGGTGTAAGTAGAGCCTGTCTGTAGTAGGGGGATTAGTAGAGACTTGCTGGTATAGGGGGATTTAGTAGATGACTGTCTGGGTAGTAAGGGGATGTAGTAGAGACTTCTGGTAGTAGGGGGAATTAGTAAGAGACCTGACTGTCCTGGTAGTAAGTGGATTAGTTAGACGACTGTCTGGTAGTAGGGGGATTGTAGTTACGACCTGGGACTGGTCTGGTAGTAGGGGAATGTAGTAGCGACTGGGCTGGTTAGTAGGTGATGTAGTAGAGAACTGGCGGTCGTAGGGGATTTAGTAGATCCTGACGGTAGTGGGGATTAGTAGAGACTGGCTGGTCTTAGGGGGGAGTAGTAGAGACTGGCTGGTATAAGGGGGATGTAGTAGAGCTGGCTTGTAGTAGGGGGATGTTAGTAGAGACTGTCTGTTAGTATAGACTGTCTGGTATAGGGGGAATGTAGTATAGACTGTCTGCGTAGGGGTATGTAGTAGAGACTGCTGGTAGGAAGGGGATTAGTGAGACTGGCTGGTAGTAGGGGATGTTTAGTAGAGACTGTCTGGTAGTAGGGGGATGTAGTAGAGACTGCTGGTTTAGTTGGGATGTAGTAGCGACTGTCTGTAGTAAGGGGATGTATTAGAGACTGTCTGGTAGTAATGGGATTTAGGAGACTGTCTGGTAAGTAGGGGGGGAGTAGTAGAGACTGACTGTCTGTTATTAGGGGGATGTAGTAGAGACTGTCTGGTAGTAGGGGGATGTAGTAGAGACTGTCTGGTATTATAGACGTCTGTTAGTAGGGGATGTAGTAGACCTTCTGGTATTAGTGGATGTAGTAAGAGACTGGCTGGTAGTAGGGGATGTAGTAGAGACTGTACTGTCTGGTAGTAGGGGATGTAGTAAGTAGTGGCTGGTAGTAGGGGGCTGTAGTAGAGACTGACTGTCTGGGTAGTAGGTGGGATGTAGTAAGACTGTCCTTAGTAGGGGGATGTAGTCGAGACGACGGGTAGTAGGGGATTGTATAGAGACGGCTGGTGTAGGGATGTAGTCAGAGACTGTCCTGGTAAGTAGGGGGATGTATGTCTAGACATGTTCTGGTAGTAGGGGGATGTAGTATAACTGACGGTAGTAGGGTGATGTAGGGAGACTGGCTGCGTAGTAGGGATGTGTAAGAGACTGGCTGGTATTAGGGGGATGTATTAGAGACGGTCTGGTAGTAGGGGGATGTATAGATGACTGTCGGGTAGTTTAGGGGGATGTAGTAGAGACTGGCTTATTGAGTTTAGGGGGGATGTAGTAGAGAAACTGACTGGTAGTAGGGGGAATGTATGGAGACTGTCTGGTAGTAGGGGGCTGTATTGGAGAACTGTCTGTAGTAGGGGGATGTAGTAGAGACTGTCTGTTAGTAATGGGGATTTCGTAGAGACTGTCTGGTAGTAGGGGGAGTAGTAGAGACTGTCTGGTAGATAGGGGGGGATGTAGTAGAGACTGTCTGGTAGTAGGGGGCTTTGTAAAGAGACTGTCTGGTATTAGCGGGATGTAGTAGATACTGGCTGGTAGTAGGGGGATGTAGTCAGACTGACTGGTAGTAGGGGGATGTAGTAGAGACCTGTCCTGGTAGTAGGATGTAGTAGAGACTGTCTGCGGTATAAGGGGAATGTCGTAGAGACTGTCTGGAGTTAGGGGGAGGTATTAGAGACTGACTGTCGGGTATAGGGGGGATTGTAGTAAGAGACTGTCTGGTAGTAGTGGATGTAGTAGAGACTGTCTGGTATAGGGGATGTATAGAGAACGGCTGTAGTAATGGGATGTATAGAGACTTGTCCTGTAGTGATAGGGGGATGTATCGAGACTGTCTGGTAGTAGGGGATGTAGTACGACTCCGACTGGCTGGTAGTAAAATACCGCCTTTGCTGTACGTCGCTCCTTCCCTTTTACGTGGCTGGTATTAGGGGATTGTCGTGAGACTTCTGTAGTAAAGGGATGTCGCGAGACTGTCTGGTAGTTTATAAACGGGGGAGTGTTATAGGACTGACTGTCTGTAGTTAGGGGGATGTCGTAGAGACTTTCTGGTAGTAGGGGGATGTAGTAGAGACTGTCGGGTATATGGGGGATTTAGTAGAAGACTGGGCTGGTATTTAGGAGGGGGGATGTAGTAGAGCTGACTGTCGGTAGTAGAGGGGATTAGTAAGAACTGGTCTGGTAGTAGGGGAGATGTAGTAGAGACTGTCTGTATTAGGGGGATGTAGTAGAGACTTTACTGGCTGTAAGTAGGGGAATGTAGTAAGAGACTTTTGGCTGTAGTTAGTAGGTGGATGTTGTAGTAGAGCCTGTCCGTTGAGTAGCTAGGGGGATGTAGTATAGACTAGTCTGGTAGTAAGGTTATTCCGTATAGTACCTTGGTTTCTTGTTGTTAGGGGATGTAGTAGCGACTGCTGGTAGTAAGGGTATGTAGTAGAGACTGTCATGGTAGTAGTGGGGGGGAATGTTATAGAGACTGAACTGTCTGGTTAGTTAAGGGGATGTAGTAGAGACTGTCCGTGGTCGTCGTGGGCTGATCAGTCCGCGCCCCCACCCCCCTGTCATGGTTCGTAGGGGGATGTCGTAAGACCCTTTACTAAAACTATTACGTTTGACTTGGCCTGGTCTTCATGGGTGTCTGTCGTCGCGCTGTTGTGTATTCCCCTCTAACTTACTCTCGGCTGTCGTAGGGGGATGTAGTAATACTGACTGGTCGTCGGGGGATGTATTTAGAGACTTTGGATTGGCTGGTATAGGGGTTATGTCGTAAGAGACTTGACTGGCTGTGTAGTAGTAGGGGGATGTAGTAGCGACTGATCCTTGTAGTAGGGGGGATGTAGTAGAGGACTGTCTGCTGGTAGTAGAACTGTCTGGTTAGTAGGGGGATGTAGTAAGACTAGGTCCTTGTATTTAGGGGTGTGTAAGACTCCTACCTGTACTACTGATGGGCTGGTAAGTAGGGGTTGTAGTAGAGACATTGACGGTAGTAGGGGATGGTAGTAGAGATGGCTGGTTATTAGGGGGATGTAGTATAGACTGACTGTCTGGTATGTAGGGGGATGTAGCTAGAGATACATATTCTGGTGTCAGGGTATGTACGTCTAGACTTGCCTGGTAGTAGGGGAGATGGTAGTAGAGCCACCTGCTGGTATTAGGTGGTGTAGTAGAGACTGACATTGTAGTAGTGGGATGTAGTAGAGACCTCTGTCTGGTAGTAGGAAGGGGGGATTATCGAGACTGGCTTTCGTAGGAGGGGGATGTCGTAGAGACGGCTGGTAGTAGGGGGGGGCTGTATTAGGAACTGTCTGGTAGTAGGGTGATGTAGTAGAGATGACTGTCTGTTAGTATGGGGGTAGTAAGTAGACTGACTGCTGGTAGTTCGGGGATGTAGTAGAGGACATGCTTTTGTCGTAGGGGGGGATAGTAGTATAGACGGTCTGGTAGTAGTGGGTGAATATAGTAGAGCACTGACTGGTCGTAGGCGGGGTTATAAGAGACTGACTGGTAGTCGGGGGATGTAGTAAGACTTACTGGTATTTAGGGGTGTGGGGTGTAGTAGAGACTACTTAGTATATGGGGGGGATGTTAGTAGAGACTGACTGGTCTGGTCGTTGGGGATGTAAGTACGACTACTGGCTGGTATAGGGGATGTAGTAGAAGACGGTATAGGGGATTTAGTAGAGACTGCTGGCTGGATAGTATGATGATGTAGTAGAGACTGTAGGTCTGGGTAGTATGGGGGATGTCGTAGAGACTGACTCTGTATTCGGGTGATGTAGTAGAAGACTGTCCTGGGTATAGGGGGATGAGAGTAAAGACTGACTGGGTAGTATGGGGATGTTTCGAGACCTGAGCTGGTAGTAGGTGGGATGTAGTAGAGACCCTGACATGTCTGGTAGTAGGGGGATGTAGTATAAGACCTCTGGTAGTAAGGGGATGTAATGTAGAGACCTGTCTGGTAGTAGGGGGATGTACGTGGAGAACCGAAGACTGGCTGGTAGTAGGGTATTAGTAAGACTGAACTGTCTTGTAGTAGGGGGATGTAGTAGAGACTGGCTGGTAGTAGGGGTGTAGTGCGACAGACTCTTGGCTGGTATAGGGGGATGGTATATAGAGAACTGACTGGTATTAGGGGGATTGTAGTAGAGGCCTGGTTCTGTAGAGGGGGGAGGTCGTAGTCGACTGGTCGTATGTGGATGTAGTATAGCAGACTGACATTGTAGTAGGGGGGTGTAGTAGAGACTTCTGGTAGTAGGGGGATGTAAGTAGCGACTTGTCTGGTAGTAGGGGCAGTAGTAATAGACTTTCTGGCGTGTTAGTAGGGGGATGTAGTAGAGACTGGCTGGTAGTAGGGGGATGAGTAGAGAAAACCCCCCCCTGTCTTGTATAGCTGAATGTAGTGAGAGACTGGACTGGTAGTTAGTGGATGTAATAGAGACTGTCTGGTATTCTCCGGGGGCTGCTCTCCCCGCGAGCGCGGTTCCTGTCGTCTGGGGCTGTCCGTAGCTCCTGTCTGGTCGTTTCGGGGGGGCTGTCGTCGCGCCGTCGTCGGGGCTTTCGTCGCACCTTGCCTGGTCGATACGGGGGGGTGTCGTCGCAGACCTGCCTGGTAGTCGGAGGGATTCGTCGAGACTGACTGGGTAGTCGGGGGGTGTAGTGACGCGGACTTTAGTAGGAGGGATGTAGTAGAGAACGACTCTGTCTGGTAGTCAGGGGGCTGGTAGTAGAGCCTTGGCTGGTCTTCGGGGGCTGTCTTCGCGCCTGGTCCGTCGGGTCTGTCTGCGCCTGACTCTGCTGGTAGTAGGAATGATGGTAGTATAGAAGCTTGGCTGGTAGTAGGGGGCTTGTAGTGTATAGCACTGACTGGGTAGTAGTGGATATAGTAAGACTTGACTTGTAGTATGGTGATGTAGTAGAGGACTGGCTGGTCGTTCGGGTGTAGGGGTCTGTAGTGAAAGAAGACGACTGGTAGTAGGGGGATGTAGTAGAGACTGACTTGTGGTCTGGTATTAGGGGGTGTGTGGAGACTCGGTCTGGTAGTAGGGGATGTAGTAGAGACTGTCCTGTTAGTAGGGGGATTTAGTGTAGACTGTCTGGTAGTAGGGGGGGGATGTAGTGAGAGTACGGTCTGTTAGTAGGGGGATGAGTAGAGACTGCTGTGTCGTAGGGGGATGTAGTGAGAGACTGTCTGGTAAGTAGGGGGATGTAGTAGAGACTGTTCTGTTAGTTAGGGGGATTGTATTAAGACGTCGGTTATTAGGGGGATTTAGTACGACTGTCTGGGTCTGGTCGTAGGGGGATGTCGTAGGAGACTTTCTGGTAGTAGGGGGAATTATATGTTGGCGCTTTGCTTGGTAGTAAGGGGATGTAAGTAGAGACTGTCTGGTAGAAGGTGGAATGTAGTAGAGACTGTCTGTATAGGGGGATGTAGTCAGAGACTGGTCTGGTAGTAGGGGGATGTAGTAAGACGTCTGTTAGTATGGGGAATGTATGAAGCTGTTCTGGGAGTAGGAGGATGTAGTAGAGGACTGTCTGGGAGTTAGGGGATGTAGTTAGAGACTGACTGGTAGTATGGGGATGTATTAAAGACTGTCTTGTTAGTTAAGGGGGATGGTGTAAGACTGCCTGGTAGTAGGAGGGGGATGTAGTATAGACTGGGCTGGTAAGTCAGGGGGATGTAGGTATATACGAGCTGGTAGTATGCGGATGTAGTAGAGACGGTCTGGTAGTAGGGGTGTATAGAAGACGTTCTGGTCGTAGGGGATGTAGTATAGCCGTCTGGTCGTAGGGGTATGTAGTCAAAGACTGTCTGGTAATAGGGGGAATGTCCGTTATAGACTGTCTGGCTAGTAGGGGGATGTAGTAGAGAACTCGTCTGGTAGTAGTGTGGAGTGTGTAGAGACTGGCTGGTATTAGGCGGGAGTAGTAGAGACTGTCTGGTAGTAGGGGGGTGAGGTGCTGTAAGAGATGAGACATTGCAGCGTTTAGCTGTTTGTCTTTGCGGTGTGTCTCTTCTCTAAAAGCTGGTTTCCGGGACACAGATGAAGTGTATTCCTTGACTAAAACATGTTCAATTATTTTTCTACATTAGTTTAATTTTGCTACAGGAAACTGTCCCAAAAAGTCTGGGGAAGTCAGGAGAAGCTTCCTTTATTGATTGCCTCCATTCTGACCAGGGTGCTGCTATGCTAAACTTAGTGGCAAAAAGGTTTGATTGACTCTTTCATACTTTTGTCATAGTGCTCGCAAGAGACACCGAGATGAGAGGTTGTCTAACTGGACCCCCAAGATCACAGAGCCCAAGCAGACGAAGCCCAGCATAACAGACTCTGACAAAAAGAGGAAAAGGTGATTAATCCTGCACCTTTCAAATACATTATCATTACACTGTACCTTTAAACCACATGACCTTCAGAATCACATGGCATTTGTCATTTCACATCATGAAATAACCAGGATATCGTTTTGGATCCAAACATGTCTGTATTGAAGGGTGATTCATTCACAGGGACAAAAAAAATTCTGAGTTTTGTTTTTTTATTCACTAGGACTTCCTGTGTTAAAGGGTAATAGTCATTCAATAGGACTTCCTGTGTTAAAGGGTCATAGCCATTCAATAAGGACTTCCTGTGTTAGAGGGTCAATATTATTAATAGGACATTCCTGTGTAAAGGGTCATAGTCATTCAATAGGACTTCCTGTGTTAAAGGGTCATAGTCATTCAATAGGACTTCCTGTGTTAAAGGGTCATAGTTATTCAATAGGACTTCCTGTGTTAAAGGGTCATAGTCATTCAATAGGACTTCCTGTGTTAAAGGGTCACAGTCATTCAATAGGACTTCCTGTGTTAAAGGGTCATAGTCATTCAATAGGACTTCCTGGTGTTAAGGGTCTAGTTAATTCAATAGGACTCCTGTGTCAAGGGTATAGTCATTCAATAGTACTTCCCCTGGTGTTAAAGGGTCAATAGTTATTCATAATAGGACTTCCTGTGTTAAAGGGTCATAGGTTATTCAATAGGACGTCCTGTGTTAAAGGGTCATAGTCCTTCAATAGGACTTTCCGTGTTAAAGGTCACAGTCCATTCAATAGACTGCTCCTGTGGTAAAGGTTCATAGTCATCACTGGACTATCCTGTGTTAAAGTCACAGGGAGTCCTATTGAATTGACTATGACCCTTACACAGGTAGTCCTATTGAAATGACTATGAACCCTTTAACACAGGGAGTTCCTATGAAGGACTATGACCCTTTAACAACAGGAAGTCCATTGAATAACTATGACCTTCACAGGAAGTCCTATTGAATAACTATGATCCCTTTACCCAGGAAGTCCTATTTGAATGACTATGACCCTTTAACACAGGGAAGTCCCTATTGAATGACTATGACCCTTTAACATATGGGAGTCCTGATTGAATGACTATGACCCTTTAACATATGGATGTCCTACTTGAAATGACTATGACCCTTTAAACATAGGAGTCCTATTGAATGACTATGACCCTTTAACATAGGGAGTCCTATTGAATGACTATGACCCTTTAACATAGGGAGTCCTATTGAATGACTATGACCCTTTAACATAGGGAGTCCTATTGAATGACTATGACCCTTTAACATAGGGAGTCCTATTGAATGACTATGACCCTTTAACATAGGGAGTCCTATTGAATGACTATGACCCTTTAACATAGGGAGTCCTATTGAATGACTATGACCTTTACAAGGAGCCTATTGAATGACTTATGACCCTTTAACATACTGGAGTCCTATTGAATGACTAGGTTAAAGGGTCATAGTTTATTCACTAGGAACGCCCCTGTGAGAAACTGAACTGACTGTGTGGTAAGTTATTTTAATAGTTTTAATGTCTTCACTATTTTTCTACAATGTAGAAAATAGTAAAAATAAAGAAAAAATGTTGCATGAGTAGGTGTTCTAAATCTTTTGACCGGTAGTGTAAGTATTCAGACCCTTTACTCAGTACTTTGTTGAAGCACATTTGGCAGCGATTACAGCCTCGAGTCTTCTTGGGTATGACGCTACAAGCTTGGCACAGCTGTATTTGGGGAGTTTCTCCCATTCTTTCTCTTGCAGATCCTCTCAAGCTCTGTCAGGTTGGATGGGGAGCGTCGCTGCACAGCTATTTTCAGGTCTCTCCAGAGATGTTTGATCGGGTTTAAGTCCGGGCTCTGGCTGGGCCACTCAAGGACATTCAGAGACTTGTCCCGAAACTACTCCTGTGTTGTCTTGGCTGTGTGCTTAGGGTCGTTGTCCTGTTGGAAGGTGAACCTTCAGCCCAGTCTGAGGTCCTGAGCACTCTGGAGTAGGTTTTCATCAAGGATTTCTCTGTACTTTGCTCCGTTAAACTTTGCCTCGATCCTGACTAGTCTCCCAGTCCCTGCCGCTGAAAAACATCCCCACAGCATGATACTGCCACCACCATGCTTCACCGTAGGGATGGTGCCAGGTTTCCTCCAGACATGACGCTTGGCATTCAGGCCAAAGTGTTCAATCTTGGTTTCATCAGACCAGAGAATCTTGTTTCTCATGGTCAGAGTCCTTTAAGTGCCTTTTGGCAATCTCCAAGCGGGCTGTCATGTGCCTTTTACTGAGGAGTGGCTTCTGTCTGGCCACTACCATAAAGGCCTGATTGGTGGAGTGCTGCAGAGATGGTTGTCCTTCTGGAAGATTCTCCCATCTCCACAGAGGAGCTCTGTCAGAGTGACCATTGGGTGCTTGGTCACCTCCCTGACCAAGGCCCTTCTCCCCAATTGCTCAGTTTGGCAGGGCGGCCAGCTCTAGGAAGTCTTGGTGGTTCCAAACTTCTTCCATTTAAGAATGATGGAGGCCACTATGTTCTTGGGGAACTTCAATGCTGCAGAAATGTTTTGGTACCCTTCCCTAGATCTGTGCCTCGACACAATCCTGTCTTGAGCTCTACGGACAATTCCTTCGACCTCATGGCTTGGTTTTTGCTCTGACATGCACTGTCAACTGTGGGACCTTATATAGACAGGTGTGTGCCTTTCCAAATCATGTCCAATCAATTGAATTGACCACAGGTGGACTCCAATCAAGTTGTAGAAACATCTCAAGGATGATCAATGGAAACAGGATGCACCGGAGCTCAATTTCGAGTCTCATAGCAAAGGGTCTGAATACTTATGTAAAGAAGGTATTTTAAAAATATATATATATTTTACATTTGCACACATTTCTTAAAATCAGTTTTCGCTTTGTCATTATGGGGTATTGTGTGTAGATTGCTGAGGATTCTTAAAAAAAAAAAAAAAAAATTTAGAATAAGGCTGTAACTTAACAAAATGTGGATAAGGCAAGGGGTCTGAATACTTTCCGAAGGCGCTGTATTTCCACATGTATGGTTCTGGCCTAAATCTCTTGTTCTCTTGGACAGTTTGCTGTGCTGGCCTGTTGGGGGCGCTGTGCTGGCCTGTTGGGGGCGCTGTGCATGGCATCAGAGTGGTGCTGCTGTGCTGGCCTGTTGGGGGCGCTGTGCTGGCCTGTTGGGGGCGCTGTACATGGCATCAGAGTGGTGCTGCTGTGCTGGCCTGTTGGGGGCGCTGTGCATGGCATCAGAGTGGTGCTGCTGTGCTGGCCTGTTGGGGGCGCTGTGCTGGCCTGTTGGGGGCGCTGTACATGGCATCAGAGTGGTGCTGCTGTGCTGGCCTGTTGGGGGCGCTGTGCATGGCATCAGAGTGGTGCTGCTGTGCTGGCCTGTTGGGGGTGCTGTACATGGCATCAGAGTGGTGCTGCTGTGCTGGCCTGTTGGGGGCGCTGTGCATGGCATCAGAGTGGTGCAGGCAGCTGCTGTGCTGGCCTGTTGGGGGCGCTGTGCTGGCCTGTTGGGGGCGCTGTGCATGGCATCAGAGTGGTGCTGCTGTGCTGGCCTGTTGGGGGCGCTGTGCTGGCCTGTTGGGGGCGCTGTACATGGCATCAGAGTGGTGCAGGCAGCTGCTGTGCTGGCCTGTTGGGGGCGCTGTGATTTTGTCCTCTGTGACAGCAACACCCACTTCCGTACCGACAAGATGATTTTATAACACAAAGAAGTTCACTTTCAGCTTTAAAAAGAACACCCCAACTTGACGTCATCGTAAAGATCCCAGCTTGTGTCTGATCTGTTCTGGTCAGCAGGGCTGGTTTGGTTTTATGTGACGTCGGGTTTCTGCGATTGCTTTTCTTGTGGAGTTTGTTTGTGCCAGTCTGTCGGTAGGTCTTTGAGTGCTCTGCTCTGTCTGTAGCGTGATGTGTCTGTAGCATGATGTGTCTGTAGCATGGTGTGTCTGTAGCGTGATGTGTCTGTAGCATGATGTGTCTGTAGCATGATGTGTCTGTAGCATGTAGCATGGTGTGTCTGTAGCGTGATGTGTCTGTAGCGTGATGTGTCTGTAGCGTGATGTGTCTGTAGCGTGATGTGTCTGTAGCATGATGTGTCTGTAGCATGGTGTGGTCTGTAGCGTGATGTTGTCTGTAGCATGATGTGTCTGTAGCATGATGTGTCCTGTAGCATGTAGCATGGTGTGTCTGTAGCGTGATGTGTCTGTAGCGTGATGTGTCTGTAGCGTGATGTGTCTGTAGCGTGATGTGTCTGTAGCATGATGTGTCTGTAGCATGGTGTGTCTGTAGCATGATGTGTCTGTAGCATGATGTGTCTGTAGCATGGTGTGTCAGTGTGTTTGTTTGTGCCTGTCAGTTGAGCTGTTGTTTCAGCTGCTGTTACTCCAGAGGTGGGCATGTGCCTGTCAGTTGCTTGTCAGTGGTTCAGAAAGGGACTGTTGGTTAATTTGCTGCGCTGCCCTTCCTATTGTAATCCTAGCCTGGTCCCAGATCTGTGTCCCTCTACTCTTCCTATTGTAATCCTAGCCTGGTCCCCAGATCTGTGTTCCTCTACTCTTCCTATTGTAATCCTAGCCTGGTCCCCAGATCTGTGTTCCTCTACTCTTCCTATTGTAATCCTAGCCTGGTCCCCAGATCTGTGTTCCTCTACTCTTCCTATTGTAATCCTAGCCTGGTCCCCAGATCTGTGTTCCTCTACTCTTCCTATTGTAATCCTAGCCTGGTCCCCAGATCTGTGTTCCTCTACTCTTCCTATTGTAATCCTAGCCTGGTCCCCAGATCTGTGTTCCTCTACTCTTCCTATTGTAATCCTAGCCTGGTCCCCAGATCTGTGTTCCTCTACTCTTCCTATTGTAATCCTAGCCTGGTCCCCAGATCTGTGTTCCTCTACTCTTCCTATTGTAATCCTAGCCTGGTCCCCAGATCTGTGTTCCTCTACTCTTCCTATTGTAATCCTAGCCTGGTCCCCAGATCTGTGTTCCTCTACTCTTCCTATTGTAATCCTAGCCTGGTCCCCAGATCTGTGTTCCTCTACTCTTCCTATTGTAATCCTAGCCTGGTCCCCAGATCTGTGTTCCTCTACTCTTCCTATTGTAATCCTAGCCTGGTCCCCAGATCTGTGTTCCTCTACTCTTCCTATTGTAATCCTAGCCTGGTCCCCAGATCTGTGTTCCTCTACTCTTCCTATTGTAATCCTAGCCTGGTCCCCAGATCTGTGTTCCTCTACTCTTCCTATTGTAATCCTAGCCTGGTCCCCAGATCTGTGTTCCTCTACTCTTCCTATTGTAATCCTAGCCTGGTCCCCAGATCTGTGTTCCTCTACTCTTCCTATTGTAATCCTAGCCTGGTCCCCAGATCTGTGTTCCTCTACTCTTCCTATTGTAATCCTAGCCTGGTCCCCAGATCTGTGGTCCTCTACTCTTCCTATTGTAATCCTAGCCTGGTCCCCAGATCTGTGTTCCTCTACTCTTCCTATTGTAATCCTAGCCTGGTCCCCAGATCTGTGTTCCTCTACTCTTCCTATTGTAATCCTAGCCTGGTCCCCAGATCTGTGTTCCTCTACTCTTCCTATTGTAATCCTAGCCTGGTCCCAGATCTGTGTTCCTCTACGCTGCGTGACCGAGTGTAATGACTTGATTACAGGAAGAGACACTGCAATGTATCATCATGTGACCTCTTCCCTCAATGGCCTGAAGATTTCTGTTGTTGTCCGGATAAAGCCTGGTCATCGTGTCTTATGCAACCTATGTGCAACTTGTTTCAGTTAGAAACGTCACCTACCAGTCCTTTTGAGATACGGTAAACTTCTCGGCCAGTATCGTTTTAGTTGTGGAAATCTTGAAAGGCAAACGGACATCTGAGTTACTTTTCTGGGTCCCTACATCCCATATCCATGTTTCCATATCACCAAACGAGGCGACTCCAGACAGTAGGACCTGATATGTTTAACCATAACAGCTGCTTACTGCTCCCTTCATTGATGCTGTGTTTAACCCATGCCTTGACCAAGGACTACACATCCATTTAAAACTCCTGAATGTAGAACTACTAGCCTGAGTGCCAGTCTGTGTTATCATGGCAACTCATATAGCCTGAGAGCCAGTCTGTGTTATCATGGCAACTCATATAGCCTGAGTGCCAGTCTGTGTTATCATGGCAACTCATATAGCCTGAGAGCCAGTCTGTGTTATCATGGCAACTCATATAGCCTGAGAGCCAGTCTGTGTGTTATCATGGCAACTCATATAGCCTGAGTGCCAGTCTGTGTTATCATGGCAACTCATATAGCCTGAGTGCCAGTCTGTGTTTATCATGGCAACTCATATAGCCTGAGAGCCAGTCTGTGTTATCATGGCAACTCATATAGCCTGAGTGCCAGTCTGTGTTATCATGGCAACTCATATAGCCTGAGAGCCAGTCTGTGTTATCATGGCAACTCATATAGCCTGAGAGCCAGTCTGTGTTATCATGGCAACTCATATAGCCTGAGTGCCAGTCTGTGTTATCATGGCAACTCATATAGCCTGAGAGCCAGTCTGTGTTATCATGGCAACTCATATAGCCTGAGTGCCAGTCTGTGTTATCATGGCAACTCATATAGCCTGAGTGCCAGTCTGTGTTATCATGGCAACTCATATAGCCTGAGTGCCAGTCTGTGTTATCATGGCAACTCATATAGCCTGAGAGCCAGTCTGTGTTATCATGGCAACTCATATAGCCTGAGTGCCAGTCTGTGTTATCATGGCAACTCATATAGCCTGAGAGCCAGTCTGTGTTATCATGGCAACTCATATAGCCTGAGTGCCAGTCTGTCTGTGTTATCATGGCAACTCATATAGCCTGAGTGCCAGTCTGTCTGTGTTATCATGGCAACTCATATAGCCTGAGTGCCAGTCTGTGTTATCATGGCAACTCATATAGCCTGAGTGCCAGTCTGTGTATCATGGCAACTCATATAGCCTGAGTGCCAGTCTGTGTTATCATGGCAACTCATATAGCCTGAGTGCCAGTCTGTGTTATCATGGCAACTCATATAGCCTGAGTGCCAGTCTGTGTTATCATGGCAACTCATATAGCCTGAGTGCCAGTCTGTGTTATCATGGCAACTCATATAGCCTGAGTGCCAGTCTGTGCTATCATGGCAACTCCTTGTCACTCATTGTCATGCCAAGGACAGCAGTGGAGTTGGTAAGAGCCCATCAACAGATCTGGGACCAGGCTATAGAACTACTGTACCTGGTTGGTTCAACCCCAGTATTTTAGCAGCTGTAAGCACAGCAGTCTGTGGTTGTGAGACTAAAGCAGACATTTGGCCCTACATACATACAGTACATCTGTTCCTGTAGTCACATCAAACCAGGTTGGGGTGGTGTGTTAAATGTCTTTATATTGTGTTCTTCTGAAATCAACATCCTTTCCCCATTCCCATCCTCTCTCTGTTGTGACAGGGCGAGAACCAGTGACCGCTAACTGACTCCACCGTGGCTCCAGCCTCCTCCAGATCTGGCTGCTGAGATGACGTTGACAGGGATCTCCCTCCACTCCTCTATATCCCCGTCCCCCGCTATATCCCCCTCTATATCCCCCTCTATCCCCCTCCCTCTATCCCCCTCTATATCCCCCTCCCTCTATCCCCCTCTATCCCCCTCCCTCTATCCCCCTCTATATCCCCCTCCCTCTATCCCCCTCTATATACCCTCTATATCCCCCTCTATATCCCCGTCCCCCTCTATATCCCCCTCCCTCTATCCCCCTCTATATCCCCCTCTATCCCCCTCCCTCTATCCCCCTCTATATCCCCCCCCCAGGTATTCCTTAAAGAGGTAGGGTTTCAAGTGTCTCCAGAAGGTGGTCAGTGACTCCGCTGTCCTGGCGTCGTGAGGGAGCTTATTCCACCATTGGGGTGCCAGAACAGCGAATAGCTTTGACTGGGCTGAGTGGGAACTGTGCTTCCATAGAGGTAGGGGGACCAGCAGGCCAGAGGTGGGTGTAGGGTCTGATCAGAGCCTGAAGGTAAGGAGGTGCCGTTCCCCTCACAGCTCCGTAGGCAAGCACCATGGTCTTGTAGCAGATGCGAGCTTCAACTGGAAGCCAGTGGAGTGTGCGGAGGAGCGGGGTGACGTGAGAGAACTTGGGAAGGTTGAACACCAGACGGGCTGCGGCATTCTGGATGAGTTGTAGGGATTTAATGGCACAGGCAGGGAGCCCAGTCAACAGCGAGTTGCAGTAATCCAGACGGGAGATGACAAGTGCCTGGATTAGGACCTGTGCCTAATCCCTCTATCCCCCCCTCCCCCTCCCTCTCCTCCTCCCCCCTCCCTCTAGCCCCCTCCCCCTCCCTCTCTCCTCCCCCCTCCCCTCCCTCTACTCCCTCCTCCCCCTCTCCCTCTCTATCCCCTCCCCCTATCTCCTCCCCCCTCCCTCTAGCCCTCCCCCCCCCCCTCTATCCCCCCCTCTATCCCCCCCCCTCCCTCTATCCCCCCCTCCCCTCCCTCTATCCCCCCCTCCCCTCCCCTATCCCCTCCCTCTCCCTATCCCTCCTCCTCCCCCTATCCCTCCTCCCCTCCCTCTATCCCCCCCTCCCCCTCCCTCTACCTCCCCTCCCCCTCCTCTCCTCCTCCCCCTCTCTCTCTCCTCCCCCCCTCTCCTCTCCCTCCCCCTCCCCCTCCCTCTAGCCCCCCCCCCCCTTTGAAAACCCCACTAGCTACCCCCTAGTGGAATGGAGTCACAATAATGCATCACCAGTTTGGGCTTGGTTGCTTTGTTTTAGCCTCTTCTTACATGTACTTACGTTGTCCATCCTTTGCTTTGCATCTATGTTAAAAAGGCAGGCAGACAAAGATCTGAACTCGGCCTGCTATGCAATGCTGTTCATGTGTTTTTAGAGAAACCTTTTTCAGAGGGCAAAATGAAATGTTATATTTTTTATAAGAAATGACTTGAAATGTCCTACCATGTCTGAGGACAGGAGTTGAGTGACATGTTGTAATATGTTTCCATGATGTACATAGTGTACTTTTTAAGAAGTGGAAAAATATTTTTCATTGTACAAAAATGGAAACAGGCATTGTATTTGGTTTAAAAGACAAACAAAAAATGCTTTCATGACCAGTTTCTTTTGAATGAAATTGTCAAGTATGCAATTCCTTTATCTAAAAGTATAATCTAAGAATAAACTAGTTATCTAGTTTTCTTAAATGGCTTAATAACCTTTTACCTTGTTTTAAGTTTATTTACGCTTGTATTGCTGGGCTACACAGCAACTATCTTTTTATCATTTCCCTTTCAACCATCAGACTGCCCTCTAAAGGGTTCACATGCTTTAGTAACATTCACATCCATGACTAATCTCCCTAGCAACAGAATCTGGGAAACACCTAAACTTACCATGCATGCATCGGTGAATTCCAATGCTGTTTCTTTCCCATAAACCCAGCAATCTAGGACTGTATCGGGTTACAATGAGCGGCATTGCTGGCCGAAACACAGTGGCCACTGGCCAAGCTCGTTCTCTTAAATGAGGGTTAGGAGGGTGTCAACACCAACTGACAATAGCTTATTCATGAATAACCACAGGCTGAGTCCCAAACTGCACCCTATTCCCTATAGCGTGACCAGGTCAATAGTAGTGCCCTGTATAGGGACACACACATTCTCTACAAAGACTGCATTAACTGACGCTGGACACCAGATCGATTATTTAATTCTTTTAATAACCATACAGTAAATATTTAGTCATCACCAGGGTAGGTAATGACAACCACCAGGCACACTTCAGGACTGTAAACCTGGACTCATAACACCAAAGATGGAAATCAATTTTCTAAGCATTTAGACCAATCTATAATCTGATTTTGGAGAGAGGGGATGGGGCACAGAGATTTAGAAGGGGGGTGGGGGGGGGGGTGGGGGATGCCACTGGGTGATTTAGAAGAGAGCAGGGGTGATGCCACTGGGTGATTTAGAAGAGAGCAGGGGGATGCCACTGGGTGATTTAGAAGAGAGCAGGGGTGATGCCACTGGGTGATTTAGAAGAGAGCAGGGGGATGCCACTGGGTGATTTAGAAGAGAGCAGGGGTGATGCCACTGGGTGATTTAGAAGAGAGCAGGGGTGATGCCACTGGGTGATTTAGAAGAGAGCAGGGGGATGCCACTGGGTGATTTAGAAGAGAGCAGGGGTGATGCCACTGGGTGATTTAGAAGAGAGCAGGGGTGATGCCACTGGGTGATTTAGAAGAGAGCAGGGGTGATGCCACTGGGTGATTTAGAAGAGAGCAGGGGGATGCCACTGGGTGATTTAGAAGAGAGCAGGGGGATGCCACTGGGTGATTTAGAAGAGAGCAGGGGGGATGCCACTGGGTGATTTAGAAGAGAGCAGGGGGATGCCACTGGGTGATTTAGAAGAGAGCAGGGGTGATGCCACTGGGTGATTTGAAGAGAGCAGGGGGATGCCACTGGGTGATTTAGAAGAGAGCAGGGGGATGCCACTGGGTGATTTAGAAGAGAGCAGGGGTGATGCCACTGGGTGATTTAGAAGAGAGCAGGGGGGATGCCACTGGGTGATTTAGAAGAGAGCAGGGGGGATGACACTGGGTGATTTAGAAGAGAGCAGGGGGGATGCCACTGGGTGATTTAGAAGAGAGCAGGGGGGATGCCACTGCCAAAGAGAAGCCTCCATGACGCTGGTATCCTCCACTTTGGCTGCGTCTGGGCCTATAAAGGATGGAATAGCCATGTATCAACAGGACATTAAAAACTGAGATCCTGTGTTTCACAGAGTCATGGCTGAACAAGGACATGGAGAATATACAATTAGCTGGTTTTTCCGTGCATCGGCAAAACAGAACAGCAGCCTCCGGTAAGATCAGGGTGGGGGTGGTGTGTTTCTCTGTCAACAACAACTGGTGCACGGTCTACTACTAAGGAAGTCTTGAGGTTTTGCTCGCCTGAGGTAGAGTATCTCATGATAAGCTGTAGACCCACTATCTACTAAGACAGTCTATATTCTTCGTAGCTGTCTATCTACCACCAACAAGCTGTATAGGGCCATAAGCAAACAGGAAATGCTCACCCAGATGCGGCGCTCCTAGTGGCTGGGGATTTTAATTCAGGGAAACTGAAATGTGTTCTACCTCATTTTTACCAGCATGTCACCTAGGCAACTAGAGAAAAAATTAAAGAATGTCGATTACCTCCACACAGAGAAACGTACAAAGCTCTCCCTCACCATAGCTCTATCCTCCTGATTCCTGCTTACAAGCAAAAACTCAAAACAGGAAGTACCAGTGACGCGCTCAATACGTAAGTATTGAGGAGTACACCACATCTGTCACCGGCTTCATTAATAAGTGCATTGACGACCTCGTCCCCACAGTGACCGTACGTATATACAGTGGCTTGCGAAAGTATTCACCCCCCTTCGCATTTTTCCAATTTCGTTGCCTTACAACCTGGAATTAAAATAGATTTTTTGGGGGTTTGTATCATTTGATTTACACAACATGCCTACCACTTTGAAGATGCAAAATATTTTTGGTGAAACAAACAAGAAATAAAAGCGTGCATAACTATTCACCCCCCCAAACTCAATAAAATACTTTGTAGAGCCACCTTTTGCAGCAATTACAGCTGCAAGTCTCTTGGGGTATGTCTCTATAAGCTTGGCACATCTAGCCACTGGGATTTTTGCCCATTCTTCAAAGGCAAAACAGCTCCAGCTCCTTCAAGTTGGATGGGTTCCGCTGGTGTACAGCAATCTTTAAGTCATACCACAGATTCTCAATTGGATTGAGGTCTGGGCTTTGACTAGGCCATTCCAAGACATTTAAATGTTTCCCCTTAAACTACTCGAGTGTTGCTTTAGAAGTATGCTTAGGGTCATTGTCCTGCTGGAAGGTGAACCTCCGTCCAAGTCTCAAATCTCTGGAAGAACGAAAACAGGTTTCCCTCAAGAATTTCCCTGTATGCATATTGACGCCACACACACATACCGTACACTGCTGCTACTCTGTTTATTATCTATGCATAGTCACTTTAATAACTCTACCTACATGTACATATTACCTCAATTACCTCGACTACCCCATACCCCTGCACATTGACTCGGTACTGGTTCCCCCTTGTATATAGCCTCGTTATTGTTATTTTATTGTGGTACTATTTTTCCTTTACTTTTTTAAAACTCTGCATTGTTGGTTAAGGGCTCATAAGTAAGCATTTCACAGTAAGGTCTACACCGGTTGTATTCGGCACGTCACAAAAAATATATATACATATTTTTTAATATATATTGTGCCGATGTGACGTACTTCTTTTTCCCTACTGAACATAGTTGAATGCACTGACTAAGTTGCTCTGGATAAGAGCGTCTGCTAAATAACTCAAATGTAAATACATACACAAGCAACCATAACATCATATGGCTGTGTTCATACAGTAGCACTTACAGGTGCGTCCACTAGGTGGAGCCAGGTGTTGAGGTGGTTGAGGAGAGTGAAGGCGTCTGGGATGTTGTCTCCTTCAGAGCAGAAGATCAGCACCACCGCCATAGGAATGTCCTCAGCACAGCTGGAACACAGAGACAACATGGAAAAAACCTTAAAGCTGCAATATGTTACTTTTTGGGCGACCTGACCAAATTCACATAGAAATATGAGTTATAGATCTGTCATACTCATTAAAAGCAAGTCTAAGAAGCTATAAATATGTTCTATGTGCGCTATTTCTATACTTCCCATTCTTAGGTTTAGTTTTTGCCTCTTAACTTTCTGTTTGGTACACCAGCTTCAAACATCCGAAAAATACAATATTTTTGGTTATGGAAAATATATTTCACAGCAGTTTAGATGGTCCAATGGTTCTCTCCACTGTACCTGCCTGTTTAGTCACAAAGGGAAATTAGGTGAACTATTAGAATTTTAGCAACCAGAAAATGGCGGAGCAATTTCTGCATAGTGCACCTTTAAGTTAACTTTTTGCGCAGGGTAAGCATATTCCTCTACATCAGATTTAGTGTTCAGAGTTCCACAGTGCATGTGTGAAGATGATACAGCCAGTTGAGTAATGTCTATGATTGTGAAGTCATCACCACCCACTATCCCATCCCCTGTTTTTCAAGATAGAAGAGAAGTTGTCCCCCTAACCACAGACCTAGAATCAGATCACCCTTACCCCTACTCCTAACCATAACCATCATAGGGGTAAAAACAAATCTGATCCCGTATCAGTGTTCAGAGGTGACTTCTACCTACATTCCCCTCGGTCTGTTCTGTACCTGTCAGTGAAGAGGCCTTTAGTGGCGCCCCCTCCAGGTATATAGAGGCGCTGCTCTGAGTCAGTAACTCCAGGGAAGGCAGATACTGTCTCCATCTCCCGCCACTCCATCTCCTTCAGCCTGTCCCCAGTCACCTTCTGCATGGATGGAGTCTGCAGGTAACGCAGCGGAGAGCTGCCAGCAAGGGTTTCATCATGTCGGACAATGATATCCAAATACTTTTTATATATTTTATGTAGGATTTGTCAGTCAGAGCTCTCTGCCACGCACTCAAGATATTCATGTGACAAATGGAATGTAAAAAATACTAGTTGAATAGAGTAATTCTGTCCATATAAAAAAGGTAGCTAGTTGTTCTATACCCCAGTAGCTGTTGATCATCCCTCTGGTAAGCATGACTGCTGGACAGCAGTACAGTTCTGGAGAAACCACTGGCTTTGATCCAAGACACCATCAGCTTACAGAACTTCTTGGACTTTGTCTGCAACAGAAAGGACCTTTGATTTATATGATAGTAAAAAATGCACTGTTCCTCTCCCAAGTTAAAAACCCTGATTTGGACAGCATAACCATATCCATGTGAAACCAACGTCAGTGAACTAACAGCTTCTCGTCCTCCACCGTCCCCTTAAGGTTGCTACACACTTTACGCAGCGTTGTTTCTACTTTAGTGGGGCTCCAATTTTGGAGCGGTCAGTATACGACACTCCGTTGCTCTGTTTGCGTAGGGTCCTTTACTGGGCTCCAACCAGTGGTTCTCTAATCACAAATACACGTGACCACCCTCCTTTACAACGTACCAACCAGAACAAACATAATAGGCTGTGGGTGACTTCAGGCGTCGTATCGACACCATAAGCAGGATGTGGGACGGCCTGCAGCCATGCCTAACACAAAGCGCCATAGCGGTCAGGAAAAGAGTGGAAATGTGTAGTGTATTTGTATCAGAGCGGAACATTAATGCACTTTATTTTGGCCAACATCGCTCAGCTACTCTACGACTAACATTATTAGCCTTGCTTCAGAGATTACTAACCGCTAGCCTAGCTAGCTACCATCTTTGTTTACTTCAGAGACTACTAACCGCTAGCCTAGCTAGCTACCATCTTTGTTTACTTCAGAGACTACTAACCGCTAGCTACCATCTTTGTTTACTTCAGAGACTACTAACCGCTAGCCTAGCTAGCTACCATCTTTGTTTACTTCAGAGACTACTAACCGGTAGCCTAGCTAGCTACCATCTTTGTTTACTTCAGAGACTACTAACCGCTAGCCTAGCTAGCTACCATCTTTGTTTACTTCAGAGACTACTAACCGCTAGCCTAGCTAGCTACCATCTTTGTTTACTTCAGAGACTACTAACTGCTAGCCTGGCTAGCTACCATCTTTGTTTACTTCCTTTCGTTCTGATTTCCTTTCTTGAAGACCAATAGTAAGACGCTCCTTCGTCTCGCCTCCTGTAATTATCCATTTTAGAACCATGAAGGAGAGTTTTTACCAGATTTATATGGAAGACATTTGCACACGAAGTAGGTCTTTGTTTTTTATACATAAACACATTTATTTGGCAATTCAATGCTGAGACACCAATCGTTATTTATGTAACAATAAATACACTGTTTTTAATGCATTTGAGGTAATTTCAGAAATTCAGCATTTTGATATAAAAAAACAGATGTAAATAGTCAAACAATGAACCTAAAAACTGTCTGGGGTCCTGACAAACAGCCAGGTAAGTGTTAAAGGCCCAGAAGAGCTTCCCCTTTAAGGCTTATGGTATATTAACTCTTTCACATAGAATGGGTTAAATGAAGCTGACCTCTGTTACGTTACCTGGATGATTGGGGTTCTGATCTGAAGAACTGCCAACCTCAACTCTGGAGAAGAGTACACTGTTCAAGAGAGGAGAGAATCATATTCCATGTCAATGTGACTGCAGCGATGACTATTGACTATTGACTATTATGATCATTAACATTTCAGTTTGTTACATAGACAGCTACCCTATTTCACTCCCTACATACACTACACGACCAAAAGTATGTGGACACCTGCTCGTCAAACATCTCATTCCAAAATCATGGGCATTAATATGGAATTGGTCCCCCCTTTGCTGCTATAACAGCCTCCACTCTTCTGGGAAGGCTTTCCACTAGATGTTGGAACATTGCTACGGGGACTTGCTTCCATTCAGCCACAGGAGCATTAGTAAGGTCGGGCACTGATGTTGGGCGATTAAGCCTGGCTCGCAGTCGGCGTTCCAATTCATCCCAAAGGTGTTCAATGGGGTTGAGGTCAGGGCTCTGTGCAGGCCAGCCAAGTTATTCCACACCAATGTCGAGAAAACATTTCTGTATGGACCTCGCTTTGTGCACGGGGGCATTGTCATGCTGAAACAGGAAAGGGCCTTCCCCAAACTGTTGCCACAAAGTTGGAAGCACAGAATTGTCTAGAATGTCATTGTATGCTGTAGCGTTAAGATTTGCCTTCACCGGAACTAAGGGGCCTAGCCCGAACCATGAAAAACAGCCCCAGACCATTATTCCTCCTCCACCAAACTTTACAGTTGACACTATGCATTGGGGCAGGTAGCACTCTCCTGTCATCCGCCAAATCAGATTCGTCTGTTGGACTGCCAGATGGTGACGCGTGATTCATCACTCCAGAGAACGCGTTTCCACTGCTCCAGAGTCTAATGGCGGCGAGCTTTACACCACTCCAGCCGACGCTTGGCATTGCACATGGTGATCTTAGGCTTGTGTGCGGCTGCTCGGCCATGGAAACCCATTTCATGAAACTACTGATGAACAGTTCTTGCGCTGACGTTGCTTCCAGAGGCAGTTTGGAACTCGGTAGTGAGTGTTGCAACCGAGGACAGGCGATTTTTATGTGCTACGTGCTTCAGCACTCAGCGGTCCCGTTCTGTGATCTTGTGTGGCCTACCACTTCGCGGTTGAGCCGTTGTTGCTCCTAGATGTTTCCACTTCACAATAACAGCAATTACAGTTGACCAGGGAAGATCTAGCAGGGCAGAAATTTGACGAACTGACTAGTTGGAAAGGTGGCATCCTATGAAGGTGCCAGGTTGAAAGTCACTGAGCTCTTCAGTACGGGCCATTCTACTGCCAATGTTTGTCTATGGAGATTGCATGGCTGTGTGCTAGATTTTATACGTCTGTCAGTAACGGGTGTGGCTGAAATAGCCGAATCCACTAATTTGAAGGGGTGTCCACATACTTTTGTATCAGTGGAGGCTGGTGGGAGGAGCTATAGGAGGCCAGGCTCATTGTTGTTATGGCTGGAATAGAATCAATGGAACAGAGTCAAACATCTGGTTTCCATATTTATGATATCTTTGATATTGTTCCATTTATTCCATTACAATGAGCCTGTCCTCCTATAGCTCCTCCCACCAGCCTCCACTGTTTTGTATATTTAGTGTACCTTCTGCATTGGTACTGAGGTCGTTGGCGTTCTCAGCGAATGTAGCATAAGGGTTGTTCCCTGCCATAGGGATGAGACAGTCAGTGTGGATGTATCCGACTCGACACATGTTGAGCGTAGAAACAATCAGGTCCACTGCGAGCTGCCCCACATTTCCAACAGAGATTGCTGGCTGTAGACAGACATAATGTGACATCTGGTTAGATACAATACAGTAGAATAGACATTGTAGTAGCAGCATGCAGCGCACGTTGAAACCAATGAGACACAATGATAGAGCATAAATACAGAGGCAGCATGTCAGTTAACTCACCATAATCAGGGTAAAGTCTTTGAAAGACGTTTGGGTGCATTCTGTCGCGACAAACATCATGTGTGTTCAGAATGAAAAAACGTAATTACTGTACAATCAACCAGTTTCAGAGTATTTTGGTTGCAATAAATTCCTATTTACTTTCGCTTCTTGCAAGCTGGAAATGGGCCTTTAAGTACATAGATAGCGTCGATTTTGATGCGTTATCAGATGCCTGAATAAAAATATTGTTGTACTGCAATAAAATTCAGCATTTTAAATATATTTATAAGATTTATCAAAAATAGACTAATATATAAATATACCTTTATTAAAAGTTCCAATATAAGTCTTAAAATAACAGAATGAAGGAGATATTTGTTCTGTGTCTGAAAGGGGACTCTAGCGGTCGCCTACTTTCAGCCGCGTCGCTAAGAAAACCCCTTTTTGCAAAAACAGATACACAACTCCCGCCAAGTACCGTCTGAAATGTTATCAGTATCGTCCTCTCTTTGTAGTTTGCCATTATGCCTGGAAGAAAGTTTCATTATAAAAATGTGTAATGTTGCCAATCAACACACAACATGTTTTTTGCCTTCAGACGGTACACGGCACGGGTACAGTAATGTGTACTTGAATAATGTGTACTTGAATAATGTGTACCTCAGTAATGTGTACTTGAATAATGTGTACTTTATTTGATAAAAGTGTATATGTCCTATGCTATACCATCTAAACAACACAAAGAATCAACACAAATGGGTCTCCATAAAATTCACTATTATTGAAGGATCATAAAAATGGTCTCTTGAAAATGCATTTGTATTATGGATCCAGCAGCTACACTTCCTGGGGCAAAATTGAGGCACATTTAAAAACATTACAATACATTTCACAACACATTTAGTGTGTTCCCTCAGGCCACTACTCTACTACCACATATCTACAATACAACATCCATGTGTACGTGTGTGTAGAGGACGTGTCTTATCATGTGTCTGTGCCTGTGTGTCTCTTCACAGTCCCCGCTGTTCCATAAGGTGTATTTTGATCTGTTTTTAAAATCTGATTCTACTGCTTGCATCAGTTACACTCACTTTACGAAAATTACAATGCTTGTCTTTCATAATTTGGTCAGATATACTTGGATGTGTGGTGTCAGCGTTTGTTGCTGGCATGTCATGCCTATGTTTGCTAATCTTGCCAATGAAAAAATCATTAAAGTAGTTGGCATTAACAGTTGGTTTTGTGATGAATGAGCCACCTGATTCAATGAATGATGGAGCGGAGTTTGCCTTTTTGGCCAAAATGTCATTGAAGTTGCTCCAAAGCTTTTTACTGTCATTCTTTATATAATTTATCTTTGTTTCATAGTGTAGTTTCTTCTTCGTTTTATTCAGTTTAGTCACATGATTTCTCAATTTGCAGTATGTTTTCTAATCGGTTGTGCAGCCAGACTTATTTGCCATTATTTTGCCTCATCCCTCGCAAACATACAATTTTTCAATTCCTACATGTTTTAAATCAGCGCCTGTTTGCTCCTCATTACAAACCACAGACCAGCAAATATTCTTTACATCAACAACACAGGAATCACTACAAAACGTCTTGTATGACCTCCTATACGCTATATTAGGCCCAGCGTTTGGAACTTTGGTTTTCCTAGATATGGCTACTATATTGTGATCACTACAGCCAATGGATTTGGATACTGCTTTAAAGCAGATTTCTGCAGCATTAGTAAAGATGTGATCAATACATGTTGATTTAAGTCCTGTGCTGTTTTTAACTACCCTGGTAGGTTGACTGATAACCTGAACCAGGTTGCAGGCACTAGTTACAGTTTGAAGCTTTTTTTTGAGTGGGCAGCTTGATGAAAGCCAGTTCATATTTAGGTCACCCAGAAAATATGTTGATATCACATACATTATCAAGCATTTCACACATGCTATCCAGATACTGACTGTTAGCACTTGGTGGTCTATAGCAGCTTCCCACCAGAATGGGCTTTAGGTGAGGCAGATGAACCTGTAGCCATATTACCTCAACAGTATTTAACATGAGATCCTCTCTAAGCTTTACAGGAATGTGGTTCTGAATATAAACAGCAACACCTCCACCTTTGGCATATCTGTCTTTTCTGTAGATGTTATAACCATGTATTGCTACCACTGTATCATCAAAGGTATTATCTAAGTGAGTTTCATGATTGTCATTGAAAACTGTTTGTTTGTCATTTAGGCTTGACTTCATCAGGCAGCACGTTGAGGACAGCCAGGGCGTTAGCCGACATCCTCTGCAACATGTTCCTGGCTGTCTGGTGTGTTGATGCCGATGTGGGGGTTGATCAGAACGTTGGGAAGTCTGATGAGTAGAGGATTAGGTTTAAGTGAAAAGGTAATCACCAGTTGGGTTTCTATGTTTCTTTCAAGACCCATTGGTGCACTGAGCGTGCCCACACACAGACACACAGCATGCATGCACGCACACACACAGTCAATCAATCAATCAAATGTATTTATGAAGCCCTTTTTACATCAGCAGATGTCACAAAAGTGCTATACAGAAAACCCAGCCTAAAACTCCAAACAGCAAGCAATGCTGTTGTAGAAGCACAGTGGCTAGGAAAAACTCCCAGAAAGGCAGAAACCTAGGAAGAAACCTAGAGAGGAACCAGGCTCTGAGGGGTGGCCAGTCCTCTTCTGGCTGTGCCGGTGGAGATTATAAGAGTACATGGCCATTAAAGCCAGATTTTTCTCAAAGATGTTAAAACATTCATAGATGACCAGCAGGGTTAAACAATAATCACAGTGGTTGCAGAGGGTGCAACAGGTCAGTACATCAGGGGTAAATGTCACTTGGCTTTTCATAGCCGGGCATTTAGAGGTTGAAATAGCAGGTGCGGTAGAGAGAGAGAGAGAGAGAGTTGAAAACAGCAGGTCTGGGACAAGGTTACACATCCGGTGAACAGGTCAGGGTTCCATAGCCGCAGGCAGAAGAGTGGAAACTGGAGCAGCAGCACGACCAGGGGGACTGGGGACAGCAAGGAGTCGTCAGGCCAGGTAGTCCTGAGGCATGGTCCTAGGGCTCAGGTCACACACACACACAGCACACACACACACACACACACACACAGCACACACACACACACACACACACACAGCACACACACACAGCTACAAGTGGGCTAGCTGTGTGTAGACCTTGGTAGAGGGTTAGGTTAGGGGAATGTACACTCGACATCAGTAGATGTCCAGCTGGCACAGCACAGGTCACCGTACATATCATGACTATCCATTCAAAATGTAAACTCATCCCACAGGCCACCGTACATATCATGACTATCCATTCAAAATGTAAACTCATCCCACAGGTCACCGTACATATCATGACTATCCATTCATAATGTAAACTCATCCCACAGGCCACCGTACATATCATGACTATCCATTCAAAATGTAAACTCATCCCACAGGTCACCGTACATATCATGACTATCCATTCATAATGTAAACTCATCCCACAGGCCACCGTACATATCATGACTATCCATTCAAAATGTAAACTCATTCCACAGGTCACCGTACATATCATGACTATCCATTCATAATGTAAACTCATCCCACAGGTCACCGTACATATCATGACTATCCATCATAATGTAAACTCATCCCACAGGTCACCGTACTACATGACTATCATTCATAATGTAAACTCATCCCACAGGCCACCGCATATCATGACCATCCCTTCATATGAAACTCATCCCAGCAGGGCCACCGTACATATCATGACCATCCCATTCAAAATGTAACTCATCCCACAGTCACCGTACATATCCTGCTACCATTCAATAATGTAAACTCATCCCACATGCGCACCGTACAATATCATGACATCCTTCATAATTAAACTCATCCCACAGGCAGGCCACCGTAATATCATGACTATCCATTCAAATGTAAACCATCCCACGGTCACCCGTATCATATCATGACTTTCCATTCAAATGTAAACGCATCCCACAGGTCACCCGTACATATCATGACTAATCCATTCATAAGTAACTCTCCCCACAGGCCATACCGTACATTATCATGACGTATCCAGTGGGTCATAATGTAGACACTCATCCCCACAGGTCACCGGCGGCGGATATCAGGGAGTGCGGAGTGAGCTGCATGGCCATTCATAATGTACTCCTCCCCAGGTCAAGGTCACGTACATATCATGACTATCCATTAAAATGTAAACTCATTCCACAGGTCACCGTACATATCATGACTATCCATTCAAAATGTAAACTCATCCCACAGGTCACCGTACATATCATGACTATCCATTCAAAATGTAAACTCATCCACAGGTCACCGTACATATCATGACTATCCATTCATAATGTAAACTCATCCCACAGGTCACCGTACATATCATGACTATCCATTCATAATGTAAACTCATCCCACAGGCACCGTACATATCATGACCATCCATTCATAATGTAAACTCATCCCACAGGCCACCGTACATATCATGACCATCCATTCAAAATGTAAACTCATCCCACAGGTCACCGTACATATCATGACTAAACATTCATAATGTAAACTCATCCCACAGGCCACCGTACATATCATGACCATCCATTCATAATGTAAACTCATCCCACAGGCCACCGTACATATCATGACTATCCATTCAAAATGTAACCTCATCCCCCAGGTCACCGTCACCTATCATGACTATCATCTCATCATGTAAACTCATCCCACAGGTCACCGTACTATCATGACTATCCATTCAAATGTAAACTCATCCCACAGTTCACCGTACAATATCATGACTATCCATTCTAATGTAAACTCATCCCACAGGTCTCGTTACATATCATGACTATCCATTCAAAATGTAACTCATCCCACATTTCACCGTACTATCATGACTATCCATTCATAATGTAAACGCATCCCGCAGGCACCGTACATATCATACTATCCATTCAAAATGTAACCTCCCACAGGTTCACCGTAGATATCATGACTATCCATTCATCATGTCAACTCATCCCACAGGTCACCGTACATATCAATGACATCCATTTCAAATGTAAACTCACTTCCACAGTCACCGTTAATCTCATGACTATCCTTCGAATTCAAAAATGGAAACTCTTCCAGGTCCACCGTACATTCAGTACTATC